AGAGGATCTCTCAGAAAGCTGGCTACACTTGCCTCGACGAAAAAACATGAAACGTCTACAGTCGCTTTTTCCAAAACCGACCAGGCTTTCTCGATCAATAGGAAGGAAGGCACGAGGCGAACTTATTTTCATCATGTTTGTCAAAAACTCGCAGAAGGGTCGGGAAGCGGCTATCTGCTGGGTGGGATCAGAGCCATCTTGGACATCAGCAAAATAGCACACTTCACATCACACCAGACGACTGACAAGAGGTCGTTGAGGCTTTAGGGACTTTCTTGGCTGATTGAGCACTCGCACTCGACCAGGTCTTTTTTGCTTCCCGCCTAGCTAGGACGAGCTTCAGGGATGGTCTCGAGGATTTAGGGTGAGTGAGTGCGCTGTTCCAGGGGTGACAAGGAACCACTGTCGCTCAGCTTCTCCGGGTTGAACTTCTTGTAGAAGGCCTGCGTCAGCCATTGCCAAATTAATATGTATCAGGCATACGGGTGTGCAGGACGGACAAATCGCATATCCGGCAAGTGCGGAGTCCTGAAGCTTTTTGGCATTTGCAGCCTGTGCCTCGTGCAAGAGGTCGCCAACAACAAATCATCTCACGCGCCGCAGCTTGAGACCTGCTTGGGCTCTGACCTCTTCACGCGGAACGCATTGGCACACCGCTGATTGCGCCGCGGAGTACGACCGGCACTTGGACCTGACAACAACTCAGCTTTGTCGGCTTAGTCCAGGCTGCGCTTTTATGATGTCAACGCTCTGCGAAGCGACTCCTCTGTTTTTGGCCATCACCGCTTGTCGCTGCATGTGCCATCTTGAAAGCGAGTTGGCATCTCTGCCATGTGTCTGGGATGCTGAGCATGGACTAAGACCGAGGCTCCATGGGGTCGTACTTCTTCTCATCGAATTTTTCAGCCTTTGCAGTGGCAAGCTCGCCATGACCAGGTGCTTGACAGCAGAAAGGTAAGCTCTGTCGTTTCGTTACCTAGCACTGCGTAGCACACGAACCCCACCTTGTCAGTGTCGTAAGGATCTCCGGAAAAGTCTGCTACCATGGCCTGCCAGCATACCAGCCAAACAGGGCATAGGGCTTGGCCCAGAATCTCTTCAAAGGACGTGTATATCGAATGTCTAGGATGAGCGAAGGTTCAAGACCATCTGCCCACCAGTCTTCACTGAGCAGGGTTCTGTCGAGTTGGCTCAAAAGTCTGAATTCAAGCTAAGCTATGTCGACTGCAAGGCAGGAAGGCCGTCCCCCTGGTTGGGCAGGGCCTTCTCATATTAGCTTGGCTTGAGGTTTCTGCAATAAATACCGAGAGGTCCCTATTAATTCTTCGTCTCGCGATGACCAAGTGAGAAAGGATGTCAATTTGCTGCGCGCCTAACCGACCCAACCTTGAAGCCAGTTAAGGTTACTCAAGGGCCTCTCTTCGGTGCGCGGCTCCGCCGCTTTAAGTTTGCGTCCAAGGGACGTCCGACTTGTCTCAGCTGAGGCCCGACCAGAAGATTGAGGGACTGCAAAAACTACAAGCCCTGAAAACTGCAGTAGCAGAAACACGAGAGTTCAAACCGAAACTGATGCACACAATGTTGACTCCCCTGCTTGCAACCTGTCATTTGGATGGGTGGATCTCCCTTGGCTGAAACATGCTGTACCCATGCAGCGGTCCCTCTTTCTCCCCAGCCTGAAGCTGGCAATTCTGATCGCCTTTGCAGACCCTCGGCTAAAGAAGTGCAGTAAGCCAATGTGAATTTGAGGCGTACCTGAGCTATAGGGAATTATCTAAAGAAATCCACGGTGAACAGACTGCCCTTCAGGCCTGCGCGGGAACAACCGAACACTCAAGTCACAAGCTGTGAAGGCTGGCCAAGCCGCTTCTGCTGACATTTCCTTGGCTCCAAACGCTTAGCCCCTCCCGGGAGGCTGCCCGGGAGAGGCAACGAGCTGTTCCACTTGCATGCCGGGCCACTGGTAGCTGTCGTGGCACTCCTTTGAGCTCATCCCACAAGTTTGCTTGCAAATGTCTCGCTCGAGACCTCACCAGACCAGTCGATTCAGAAGTTGTACGGTGGCGTGCGATCCCACAGTCTTCAAAATTGGGATCTCCTGTTCCGACAGCCAGGCTGCAGCACTTGTTCAAGTTTTTGCCCATCTGGTTCATGCCAGCGTAGGGGTTGGAGGGATCAAAGTCTTTCCTGACATCGGGTGCGGTGCATACGACCAGGAAGCTTTTCACTGGGTGACGGGTTGTGGTCCGCATGATCCCTTTGACCAGGAAAGGAAACCTTCCCCTGAGCCTTCTAGCAGCTAGCAAGGCGCCATCCCAAGTTGATTATATCATTCCATCATTCCATACCCAGCTTGGTAATTGTAACGGTTTCTGCTTGATGCTGCCATCCTCACGCACTCGTGTCTGATGTGATGAGCCAGGCTCTTGGCCCTTGGGGTGAGGTCAAACCCGTGAAGATGCAATCCGAGCTTCATGCTCAAGACGTTGAGACCCGCCTCCTTGCATCCATAACTAACCTGAGCCATCTGTGGTTTGGATATTCTGAAAGCTGGGCATGATTGTAAACTCCAAACAAATGCGAGCCGCGAGCGCCCCTAATTAAGAAAAACACATGAAGCGCAGATTTCGCACGTGGTGCTGCAGCTAATTGCAATTCCATGTCCAGCTATGTCCAGCTGCCCTTTTACACATACCCTCTCCTCAACCAGCAGTGAGGTGCCGTGACCACGCCAGGTTACGAAGTTATCTTAGACCCAAGCCTCTCGCTTTGTATGCTAGACTTCTCTTTTAATCATGCATATCGCCAGAGTTGTGGGGAGGCATACCGCTTCAACTTGATGATGGACACCCCTACCAGCAGATCACGTCGTCTTGGGCACAGAAGCACAGTTGCAGGGCATGTCACGATTTCGACATCCTCCCTGCCCACCGGCAGCTGGCCCGCTGGGCAGCTGAAAGCCGGGCAGTTGGGCGCAGGGGGCGTGTAGCCGCCGAAGCCTGCCCAAAGTTCCCAATGCATCACGGATGTTTCAAGGCCGCCCGGAACGCAGGGCCTTGGCCCCAAGCTCGGTGGGGCAGCCAGAATAGGAAAGCTGCGAGCTGGCACACCTCATGGCAGAAAATGACTCAAGAAGACGGCACGCTGCCCCTACGCTCGGCAGCATCAAGGGTTAAAGGCGTTCAAACATGCGAAGAAGCCACCAGGCTTCCCGGTCTCATGTCTGCCCAAGAGCGGCAGGCCGACATTGAGCGGATAAAAGCTGCAGCTGTGCCCGAAGGTTCCTGTTTCTCGGGATCTTCTTGAGTCAGACCTGGGATACATGTCACGATAGGTTAGAGTTGGCAAGGGTGTCCAATACTGCTTGGCCCCGCTTGAATGTCAGAACTTCGGACCGGGAGTGGAGTGACGTGAAGCAATCTGTGGCATGGACGTTTGCTGATTCCAGGCTCTTCTAGATTCTAGGGAACATGACATGACTTTCACATGCCGGCATGTGTTGACATGTGTTGAAAGGACGTACAACTTGAGCGCACCAGTCGGCGAGAGCTACTGCTTGTCGGCCACTGAGGCAAGGCACAGGCAGACGCTGCCGTCCCCATTGAGCAGGGCAGGCTTTACATGCGAGAAGGGCTGTAGCTCGGGTGGCTGCAGGCTCGACAATTGGTCCAAGATCTCCTTGGTTGCCGCAGTTTCGCCGCCGAGCCCTCCAAGCGTGGCGCGGATTTTCTCTATAGCTGATGGAACGGACTGGCCAAAGGCAGCCTCGGCATTCCCAGCAGAGAAGTGCTCAAGCCCACGGCAGGGGCATAGATACCAGACTGACACAGCATGCCGAAGCCTAACCCACGGGGGCAACACTTCGTGGGGAACGCTTTCGGACCAAAACAGCACCAGCGTGTCCAAGGCTGGTGGCACCTCTGCCAAGACCTGAAACCTTTCGTCCTCCTGCTTTAGCAAACGGAGTTCGCCACCAGATTCGAGATCCCAGTCTCTGTTCAGATAGTAAATGCAGGTAAGCAAGCGCCCGTTGCTGCCTTTGCCGTTGTCCAAGTGCCAAGTGTATCTGCTGCCTGGCTGGTAAACCGTTACCATTGGCCAAGTGCGGAACTCACACGTGTCCATCTTACCTCCCGTCAGAGGCCGCAAGCCAGAAACAAAGGCGTCCAGCTTAGACAGGAATTCCGCCGGTTCCTCAGTTGGCAAAACCGCCCAGTCCCCGCGTCCCATCCCTGGTGACAGCACTCCGCCAGGGCCTGGGCATGCAGGCAATGGACTTCCAAAGTCAGCATCTGCTAGTTCCATTGCTTGTACTGGCCCCAGAAAGTTGGTCAGTACCGCTGCGCCGTAGAGGTCAAGCAATGCTGCTGCTCGGACACACATGGCCCCCAAGTCAGCGGAAGCACAGAGTGTTATGGACTCGAGTCCTGATTGAAGTTTCCGGACGTTCGAGCGATGCAGGCTGTGATGATACGCTGCCTCTCGGAGTAGCAGCCCCAGGTCCGTCCCATCCCACTCTGGGCTCGTTTGCACTGGCCCTGCAATCCCGTCTGGTGTGCAAAACCAACACGGGCAGTCCATCAGGATTTTCGTAAGGTGGGTACTCGCAGCTCTTCGCTGAAAGCTTGGATGAGATCCCAATCCCAGGCTTTCGCCAAGAATCCGTTCTACTGTTCTTTGCCTGTAGAACTCATCTTGGCCAGCAATGTCCACAAAAGAGATCGCCTCTTCACTTTCTGCAACAGCTGCTTGTATGGCTGCAGCTTCCCTGTGCCGGCCGTCATACACCAAGTACATAGTACCTTCCGATCCTTCATGCTAAAACCCGGCCCAGGTCATGCTTCTCATCAAGATGCGCCTCTGCCTGCGCTCTGCTACGGCGCGATTTGAGCTCTGATTCTGCCGTGGAACTCTACCTAGTGACCTGGAGCACCTAGAGCCTGTCCACTCAACCCAGCTCATAAGCCCCCTTTCAAAAGCGGCAGATCTGGGCGAGCCGCCACTGCGCGATGACCTTCGGCCATGTCCGTGTGCAGCAACTTCAGCAGCTCTTTCATCCTGGCACGAGTAGAAGCCCCGTCAAAGGCAATGCAAAAGGGGTGTCGAGTGAGGTCCTGAACCCAAACGGCTTTACGGAAGTCCTCTGTCGGAGTCCTAGAAGTGTTTGTTCCTCGCTTCGCTCGGAGCTTGTGTCCACTTAAATATGGACGGGTGGCCAAGTGCAACACCGTCGCTCAGAGACTCAAAGCTTGCTCATTCGAATTCCGCCGTCCACGCGTATGGACTCACCATTGACAAACCTCGGGGAGCTTGTGGGGCAGGGAAGGCCGCAGGATCTCTTCTTGCCTTTTTAAGCGCCAAGGGTCTTGTTTTCAAGTATCGCCACAGCCATCTGGGCAAACTCCTCCGGCTGGCCCAGGCGAGTGTTCGGAAAGACGTGCGTCCTATCAGCGACGCTCGGGCTGTGCCAATGGCAGGCAGCCAAATGACCCATGCACTTACAGTGATGCCAGGTCAAGCCAAACTGTAGACGGGCCACTCGGCAAGATTCTTGTACACTGCTGGCCTGAACTGTTTCCTCGGCTTTGCAAGTTCAACTCTGTAGGCCATTCAGTCTGCCACATGCCGGAGCTTACGCAAAAAAGCTGAAGATCCGATGCCAGATCGTCGAAGGTGCCAATGAGTTGAGGGACTTCAAAGAGAAAGTGCAGTAAGTACTGTCACACAAGGTCACAGGCCGCCTATTAATCCCAGGCAAGTCTCAAAGGCGCTGTCATCGGAGTATCAAACACACCCGGCAGTATGCAGTTCACGCGGATTCCGCGCTTCCCCAGATCGCGGGCCATGGGGAGCGTCATCGAGACGATGCCGCCCTTGCCTCAAATCCGGCACTGCATGCTAGCTCATGCCATCTCCTCCGCCAGAACAACTGTCGGACCATGCTTTCACCAAGATGAAGACAAGCCGCCTGCTGCATAGGCGATTTGTCCGTTTTGACCTAAGCCGCGAATGTGCTTCCAGCTGACTGACCGGTGCGAAATGGCCGAAAACCTGAGCTTCTTGCCATCTTGTGCCGCAACGCTAGCGACCTTGAGCAGTCGCAGCTTCTCATATTGCCAGGGGGCTACGGAGCATCGCATTTTTGGAGCTTTTTGAAGGTGCTGGAAAGGTCCCTGTGTAAGCAAGAACAACCCTGAGGTGAAGGGGCTCCTCTACCCCTGGCTCGCTTTGTAGAGCACACAAACCACATGGACACCAATGATCCGCATTCTTGCGGCATCGTCTTGTAGACTTGTATGGAATGCAATGATGGCCCAAGACAGTGCTTCAGCGACATCGCGACACTTGCACACGAGAAGAAGAAGAAGAAAACCGTTCAAGCAGTCGTCAAGAGCCAACGACTAGTAGTGATTAGTACATAAAAGTAGGTCTGTATGCATTGGCTCGGGGCAGAAACGCACCAACCGCCGGCATTCGAGCTGACAACCCCACTCAGACAAGTACTCAAACTCAGAGATGCCTTCGAGTCTTGCTCAAAGATACTTACCGTCAAGTCTTGGAGCTTTCCGACACGATCTGAAGAACATCGGCAATGATGGAACGACAAAACCGTCCGTTCGGAGTGGACAGACACACAGTGCAGCTAGGTCACATTTATGATGCAACCTTGGCTTTCTGGTTTACGTGCAATGCATACAATCTCGGGATGCTCATCCATCTCACACGAAAGGACCCACTGCTTTGTGCCGTTTCTTCGCGCCTCGCTCTCCATCCTCGTCTTCTGGCGCATTCTCTGCTATCAGAGCCGCTGCCTCGCGGCAGGCGCAGCGGCAAAGGGACTGGTAATTTAAGCTCCGAAGATCAGCGAAGCTCCTGTAGAGTTTTGGAACGTCACAGTTGGCGGTGCCAATGTGCATAAAGCACAACTCCTTCTGTGTGCGTGGTTGCATCCGAGTTGTCTGCAGGCATGTCAGTGTGTTTGGCCAAAATTCAGTGCGTAAGTGTCCGCACCACTTTCGCTGGGCTTCTCAAGCAATCTGTCACTGCCTCTCAGGAGAACGACGGCTCACGCCCGTTGATGCCGCACAGGCTCCCGCGTCGCTATTGAGATCGAATCTCTATAGACTTGCGAAACCTCAATCACAACTGCCTGAGAAATATGATCCGAGTGCATCAACCCCTGAGCAAGTGGTAGTCACTTCATCTTGGGCGCTTCTGACGGCGCACACTGGCCTTGCTGGCGATGAGGAAGGTGCCAAGAATGTTAAGCTCAACAGTCTTCTTGAAGGGAGACAGTGCATGAGGGTTGCCCTTCTTGTCCAGCGTTAGGCCGGTGCCTAACATCAGACGATTCTCAGCCCTCTGCGAAACGTTGACAATATTCAACGACGTAATGCGTGAGGAACCTTCCTGCATCTGAGACCCTCGCCGAGAGTTTGACCGCCTGCAGAAGAGGGCTCTGGTGACTCTGGTGTGACCGTGTGACATGACGTAACGTAAAGCATCATAACATGCTAAAGATGCAAAAGAACGACTGCCCAGTCAGTGCCCTCTGGCCTGCGCAGCTGACGACGCCACTCAACTTTCCGAACTTCTCCTTGATGGCTTTCATGCAGTCTTCCACTGATTTCTCATCCAGGATGTTACCTCGACGCAATGGTTCGGTCGTTGAAACAGAAGAAAGGTAATCTGCAGGCAGACTGCACGACTTTGGGTTGCAGCCTGCCTGCATCAGTGCAATAAAGGTCGCAGCCAACACGAGCTACTAGAAAACCAAGTAAGCCGGCCAAGCGTCATTCCACAAACAATGCATTCGACGCACCAACTTTCTCAACGACCGCATCACCTTTCTCCTTGTTCATGTCCAAGACCTTGGCAGCACAGGACATGGCCTGACCTGTAAACGCCTGGATGATTCACTTCATGTCGTCAGCTGAAGAGTTTTGGCGGGCGCTCCGCTGCGATCGCTGCGAGATGTTGGAAACAAGGCCACGCCCAGTTCTAGTTCGAAAGCGACGGGCCTTTGCACGAATTGTTGCTCGTATACCGGAATACAGGGAAACCAACAGACCGTTGAGACAAATGCACAGCAGTCTCGAGCCGCTCCAATGACCGGTCCTCTTGTGAAACATTGGCAGGATCACTTGTCCAAAGCCTTTGATCAACCTGTTGCAATCGCATGTCATTGCGCATGGACACACAAGTTGGTGAGACGGAATTTGACACACCTTCACAGCATCCATTATATATGCCGAGGTGTTATGGCGACTTCACACGCCGACAACTGATTGGCCTTCTTTAGCTTTAGCTTGAGCTTTATGAGCTGCCGGAGCAGCTGGTGCCGTGGGACTTGCATCAGGCGAGTGCGCGCTGTCCTCCTCCAACTCCTCCACACCTTGTCCAACACTGTAGGGTGAGTTCCCCAGGTTGTCGTCTGGCGCGGATGCGGATTTGTTGCCAGAACCCTGGCTCACTCCACTTTGATGGCTCGCAGAGCCATGCATTGCGGATCCTCCAATCATGGCTGCAAGGGCACCCTGCTGGTTTCGAACTCCGAGCTTGACAGCTATGTCGAAGACCAGTCTCTCGATCTCATCAAACCTCTTGTCTGTGCTCCTCTGCAGCAGGGCGACAGCACTGTCATCCTCCTCTGCAGTTGGAGGCCATGGTAGCTGGGGGGATGCCAGGCCACCATAGCGCTGGACTCTATCAAGTTGGATCGATGGATGGTTCAAGTGGTCATACTGCCCCTCGGAGGTCGCAATACCTCCCTTCGGGCCTGCATCACCTTCGTCAAGCTCACACGGCTCTTCAAGGCGCAAGGAATTCACAAACCTCGTCCATCGCTTTGTGGAAATCATGGGCATGGCACTTTCGAAGATGATGGTGCCTCGGGTCAGCCGAGCATAGCCCAGGGCATCCTTGGAGATCGCTATGTATCGCTGGCAAAGTTGCGCCACCATCAAGTTCCTGAGTAGTGAGCCGGAGTCAACCCGAACAACCCATGCTCATGTGCTTCGGAGAACTCTTGCAGCTAAGGTTCATGAAGTACACATGCCAGAAGGAAGCGAAGGCGATCACAAACCATTTTAGGAGTGGCTCGTTCTCAACCGCAATTTCCCCGTAGTTGTTTGCACCGTACACGTTGAGTCCCATTGAGAGCAGGGCCTGAAATGCTGCAGGCCAGTTGTAGAAGTCCCTCATCTGAACGCCCTCTTCAAGCCCGGATTGTGGCAAGCAAGCAATCGCAGAAGCGAAAGCTGTCGCCAAGAAAAGCAGGGCCCCGATGTAGACGACGAACTCCCACCAAAACCGTGTGCAGATCACGGCGAAGCAGCTCAAGTGGATGTTGAAGTGGACTAACTCGAAGGCCAACACAAAGTACAAGAGCATGGGGATGCAGGACACTCGATTGTACCAAACCGACAGGTCACAGAAGAACTGCCCAAATGCACAACAGCTTGTCAACCACTCGTCGCTGACTTGCAAGCAATGCAGAAAGGGCTCCATGCCCAACATGGTCAGCAAGAAGAGCACAAGAACAAACTCGATGAACTCTTGCCTTGAGACGAGCAAATAGGTGGGCACTCTGCAGCACCAGAGGCACGGCGAGGTCTTGCCGCTTGCGCAAGCTTTAAGGATCTGGTACATGTGTTTGGCGAAAAGCTGTCCCAAGCTGAAGACATACATAAATGCCTTAGAGTTTGAGGGACTGCTAGCAAAGCGTTCGGGATCCGTGCACGAGCCTGCAGGTAAAACGCCTGTATATGCTTGCATTACAAGCTGCTCGGCAGCCAATTAAGGCCCAGCGCGATGCGCCTTGAGGATCGTCGGCCAGGATACCATACTGTAATCCAACGATGAAGTTGGCTAGGGTCAGGATGAACCACATCTTCGTGCCGACGAAGGCGATGCCGCACATTCGATTCCACAGTAGATCCGCTGCAAAGGCTGGGCAGGAATGACAAACGATTTCAGGATCACTGTGTTGAATCAGCGCATGCAAAGAAGGAGTCAACTGGCCGTTGTCGTCAACCAACCTGGGAAGCTCAGAATTCGCGATGCTTCCCTCACTGTCCGCCACCCACGATGGGTCACAAACATCACAAACTAGCGTTGCGAGTGTGAGACGCATCCTCATAAACCGTTCGGCTGTTCTGTGGTTTGCTGCCTGGACACAAAGAGCCGATGTAGTAGTTGACACGACGCATACCTCCTTTGACCTTCTTGGACTTCCAAACCAGACCTGCGGAACAAGCGCAGGCCAACACAGCTGGAAATGCAGCATGCCGGGGTGATACAATTTGATCTGCTTGCAGCGAAGTCGCCATCTAGAAGGTGGCTCAGAAGTGTGGGTGCCTGCCGACACAGCAGCTGGATGATATCCGGGTGCCGCCCGAAGAGGCCCTTCATGCTGTAGTAGTAAGACGATCGGTCCGCACGGATCGTGAGCAGCTCCTCAAGAATGGCCTGTGCGGACCTTAGTGCACCTGTCTCGATGGCCCAGACAAGCGGGGAGATGGACTCCGTACCAACCTTGGATCTTCACTGGATCGTAACTCTTGAGATTAAGGTGTGCGTTTTCTTTTATCCAAAAGCAAGTCGTGCTGCCACGTCTGCTGGCAACTGACATGCATGCAAGACCGGATGGCACATGCTGTAGTGCAAAGTCCCTGTCATCAGTTTAGGTCGAGTGGCTTGCACTCGCAGCAGAAGTTGCTCTCGCTTACCCCTTGGTGCGGGCGCCACAGCTTTCTGCAGTTCCTTTGCCGAGTTCTTGTTGATGGACTGCATCACGGCTGTGGAGCCTTCCGCCAGGGTGCGGGTGAGGATCCTCCCCACCTCGGACGATCCAGCCGTGCGGAATCCAAGCACTATAAGGGAGGGACCACTATGCCTACACCCCGTCGACGAGCTAAATGTGTTACAGACTGACTTAAGCCTGGCTGCAAGGTGAAGGCACCACTGGACTCCAGGGACAATGGATTCGTTGCTGTTGAACTTCTTAACTGTCATCATGATGGCCTCGGTGAAAGGGACGGTCAGGTCCTCTGGGACACCGTATCCTGCATGGAGAAGCCCTAGGGCAGAAATGTCTCGGACGGCAGTTTTCGTTTTCGTGAAAATGTCCCCCATCACGCGGAGAATGCGCCCCATGATATACTGCAATCGAGCGTTGGATGCCTTGAGGTAGTCTTGCGTCTGGACACAGGTAGCGAAGAGTGTTTCAAAAACCTCCAGCTTGAATTCCGCCGCCGTATCTTCATCAAGGGACTCTGTGAAGCTTTTCAAATGATTGTAATACATTCCTGGCAGCTGCTTGTTGGCATCCAGCATCTTCTCGATACACGACCAGAACCAGCTCCAAGCATTTTCATACTTCATGCTCCACTTGGCCTGCAGAAATGCATGAAGTGTTCACTTATTCTGGAGGTGTGATGACAGATGGACAGCTATGCCTGCGGGAAGAGTTCCAACAACCATGTGCGCATACAGATTTCAATTTATGCAACATTGACAAGATGTAGTGACATTGGTATGTGTCTTCTAAGTTCGCCAAGTCCTCGTAAAGCTTTAAGTCTCACACACGCAAAAAAGTTCATGAACATAAGCATAGACAGACAGATAGACAGATAAATAGATAGACAGAAAGACAGACAGATAGAGAGACAGATAGACAGATAAATAGATAGACAGATAGATAGATAAATAGATAGATAGATAGATAGATAGAGAGACAGATAGATAGACAGACAGATAGATAGATAGCTGGATAGACAGATAGACAGACAGACAGACAGACAGATAGACAGATAGTTGCATAGATAAGTAGTAGAAGACAGACAGACAGACAAGCAGACACATAGATAGATAGATGTAAAGATAGACAGGGTGCGAGAGAGACATTGTAGCTAGATAGATACATGCGTCGATAGATAGATACATAAGTAGATAGCTAGATAGCCAGCCAGGCAGATAGCTAGACGGCTAGCTAGCTCGATAGCTAGATATCTCGACAGCTGGATCGCTAGATGCAGCTAGATAGCTTTCTAGATACATAGGTAAGCAGATAGATAGGTAGGCAGGAAGATAAGTAGACAGGCAGAAAGCGGCCCTCAAGAATGCACAGATACTGTGCCGGCTACAACATGTCTGAAAAAGTTGATGCTGTGCGCTTGTCCCACCGACTTCAAGTTAAGAGCCCTTATGGGGCCCATATCTTGCAAAATCGTGCATATGCTTCCTACAACAGCTGCCGAGGTGAACGGCTCTCTCGCGTAAATCCCCAACTCTCCCGGACCTGCAGCATGGACCTTGGATGCACACAATCGGCACAGCTAGACAGGCCACAGGCAAAGAAATCAAACATCTGACAGCTCAAACCCAGGCATGAGTCCGCAGGGATGCGAACATGACAGACTTGAAGCCGGGCAGGTCTAGCTGCTCGTGACGTGAATGGCGCCAAAGAAGTAGCGACAGCACATCACACTCCTCCTGCAACCGATCAATGTTCCCGACATTGGGCACGAGGTTGTCAAGGGCGATGATCATCTCTGACAGCCATGGCCGGTCACCCACACCCATGACCGAAGCATTAAATCGTGCCATCTCACCAAAACTAGTGGGCACATTCATGCTCTGGGCATTGGCCATGGTCCCCTCTTTCATGGTCTTGCTGGCCTCGTTACTTGCACGTTCCCCACTTTTCTTTTTCTCCGGAGTCGTGGCCTGCTCCTCATTCTTTTCAGTCTCCTGTGGTTCCACCCCTTCCTCTCCCTCCTCACCTTCAGCCAGACCTCCCTCGGCATCGGCCTCTGCTTCAATGGAATTTTCCTGAACGACCACCCAGCTCGCTTCGAGGATCTTCAGGTTTGCCTTGTAGAACTCGCGTGTGTGCTGATATGACGCACCCACTGCATCAACAAGCCGTGTGACGCCGTACTGGAACTCGGGAGTCATCATGCCACCCAGCTTGGACGCACAGAACTCAATCAAGAGCCCCTTGAAAGTCTCTATCTCTGCAGCACTGATGTCCTGATTCATGTGCCGCAGGGCAAGGTACTCCAGCTGGCCTGTGAACATCGACTGGTCATGCATGGATGCTAACAGCCCATTCAGCTTCGACCAAACCGTACTGGCTCGTTTCTGCATGTGCTCCGTCTTCGGGATTGCGGCAGAAACCTTGTGAAGGAACTCTTCGGCGGCCGCTTTGGGAGTTCCACAGCGGCGCTCCAAATTCTCCCACCCATTTCTCACCTGTCAATGCTGGACAGTAAACTGCTACCCGCTACCCAAGCGGCTCTGCTCAGCTCGTTAGCAACGTTAGCAACTTTTAATCTCAACCAATGCGCAGTTTCCACATCACACCTTTTAGCATCTCTGCTTGTCATGCCTGTGACGCCTTTCCGCCGACTTCCACACACATGCACACACAGTTTGCCATGGAAAAGAATAAGTCCAACAGCCATCCCATTTCCAGACCTCTGGCACCGGCCAGCTACTTATGAGACTGAACAGCGGGCCTCTCCAATCGAGTACTCATCAAGCTCGAAAGGTTCGAGCAAGTCCAAGGCTTCCATCGCTAGGCGATTTGGAGCCACTGCTCTCCATGAGCCGACTTCATTGACGGCTGCAGATGCACAGAGTCAAAGCAGGAAAGCATCAACTTGCTCGCTTTAAATCTACGCCAAGGTCACGCCGCTAGGGCAGCATCTCGACTCCTAGCTCACAATCCGCCGAGTGGCCGCAACTTTCGCGCCCTTCGAGACACAAAGCTCCACTGTGCTCTCTCCTAGTCCGCTGGCACCACCAGTTACGGCGATCACGGCACCTTCGAGCTTCATGACCTCGCATCGAGAATTGCTGTGCTTATTGTCTTGGAAGTGGCAAATCATGGGAGCTGTCTAGATCTGGCCTCCGCAGCGGTGATCGGTGACCCGTCAGAAGCCCTACGCCCTACGCTTCTCCAAAATTGTCTGCGAGATTTCCAGGGACGCATGAACTGCATTTATCGACGCTTCATTCAGGAAAACCGCCACACAAGCTGCAAAAAGTCGGCTGCACTTCGTGCTGTGGATTCCGGTTGGTTCCGCCTCATTCACCGGGGGCGGTGCAGGCATGCGTGTTGCTCAAACTGCCAAGCAAACGAACCGACATGAAATGTGCGAGCGAGTGATGGATTTCCTGGTTCCTGGGTTCCCAGGCGTTTGTGCTCTCGGAAGCCGAAGCCTCCGAAGACAAGTGCCAAGAAGCTTGCATCCAGGTCTCTCAGGGCAGCCTATGACGCACACGGCCAATAAGCTTGGACAGCGCAATCTCTGGCGAGCAACAAACCGTTCTCAACTGCTTTGGTTTAAACAGTTTTCTAAGATTTTCGATGCAATACCAGATACTTAACGGCTTCGACATATTTGTGGATCGGATCTGGTCGGACAGCGCAGCAACAAGCCACGCCTTTGCAAGGAGGTGCGCAGGGATGCTGGATGCCCCAGGCAACACCTAATTTTCGAATCGTGCCGCATGCGCATATTCAACTACCTGCTAGTACCAGGCCCGAACCGAAAAGGGTCCAGGCAGAGCGAACACGATCCCTGATATCCACACGAATATGCAAACACCAGCCGCTACACAGCGCGCACAGCGCAGCCACATAAGCACTTGCATTCCACACACACACACACAACACACACACACACACACAACATGGCATAACACAACACATGCACTCATGCATCAGTTGTATGTATGTGAACCGTGTATACATATTACATACATGCATACACACACACACACACTTCGTCACAAAAAGCCAAAGCCAAACTGACAAATTAACCAAACAAACAAACAAACAAACAAACAAACGAGCCAGCAACCAAACGAACAAACACAGACAGACAGTCATAAATTTACGAACATACATAATCCTGCATACATGCATACATACCTACCACATGCATATACATACTCCCTTGCACTGGTTCATGAAGTTCATTCATTCCGCCAGTCAGTCAGTCAGTCACGCACGCACAAAACGAACAAAAAACTAAACAAAGGCTCAAACAACGAAGCAAAACAAACAAACACAAAAAAAGGAACACACGCACATGCTCGCGCACACAAACACACAAACAGAAAAGGATTCAACACGTCAAACAAACAACAAACAAGTGTCTAGACGGGCCGGCAATCCTCACTCTGATGACATCTGTGCCTTCCCCGCTAAGAAGTGCAGAATAAGACATGAAGCTTTGTTTCTATGCAAAGAGAGATGCACGACTTTGTTGACACGAGCGCAGAATCTGTGGGCAGAACTTTTAGAGACTTCCTGGTAATGCCGGGCTTTCTGCAGACAGGACCTCACAGGGGCACAGTGGCCGATCAGATTGCAGATGCTCCGTACTCCGTACCAGCACATTATCACAAGTCAGATGCTGCAGCTTGAGAAAGATAACACTGAAAGTCCACGTCGTGGGCATGCACTGGCACATAAGCAACGCACACTCGAAGAATAAGGATGCGCTTCTGGACGCTGGGAACGCGGCATTCCCCATGGCACCTCAATCAAAGCCCGCATCACACCCTACCAATCAAACAAACAAACAGACACCGAGTCCTTGCAACGCACAGGTCGAGCACAAGTTGGCCAATGGATGCAAGTTGCTGCTTGATGATCTTGTAGCAACACTCGCGACAGAAGATGTGGCCGCATGGCCTGGGCAGCACAGCTAAAGGGGCATCCTGTCCGACCCAGCCGCATGCGAGATTCCCTTTGCCCCGATGTTACGATGAAAGGAACATCTACAGCCTAAAGTTTCGAAAACCGAGAGCAAAGCGTCAAGGTCGGATCTTGCGGTGTGTCGTAGCCTCGAAACACTAGCCCAGAAAGAGACAAACAGGCAGACAAGCACGCGCAAACCTACATCCAATGCCAGGCTTGCATGAGGACCGTGCAAATTGCACAGTCATTGTGCTCCCCATTTCGAATCTCCTCCCGGCTGTAGAACTCTTGGGGGCCAGTCTTCGTGGGCACTTGTTCCGTTGAAGGTTCGACCCACTGAGTCACACAGGTTACCATTCACTTTGTAGCCCTGCTTGCAGTAGCTGGTAGTTGCACAGATTCACAGACAACAAGGCCGTGCTCCCACAACAAGAGTTGCGCAGAAAGTCAGGAGCACCTGGGCACGTAAAAGCAACAGCTTTGTTTGCTACTGCACACGCCACGGCCGAAGTGACTCCTGGAGGAGAGTTGCCACGTAGGCCTCAGAGACTTCTTCCCCACTGACCTCCGCGAGGTACCGCCTGGCCCCACAGGATATGCCTTGCGAAAAACTACTTAACTACTTGCTAGCACATTAGCCGGCTGACCACAACAAGTCAAGCACTGCTGATTTAACTTCTGGCGAAACTCCTGGGAGCTCCTGGGTCTCTGTCTACATTGATACGATCACGGGACAAGATGTTCGACGTTCTAGGAAGCCACACAACTGGTCTTCTCGCCTCTGGTCCACTGGCATCTCGGCAGACCAATCCGGTCAGGCTGACAACATAAGGCTCCAGTAGTCGCGGCTGTCATGTTGCAGCTGCGTGGCACGTGGATTCGTACTTCCGCAAGCTGCTCGAGCTTTTGGTGTGAAGCCGTTTTGTGAGCAGAAAGGTTCCGGTCCCGAAGGCTGTTATGCAGCCATGAACCTAAGATAAGATCGGTTTGGCAGTCTGACCTACTCAGCGCATGGCACAGCTCAGGTGCCGTTGAGCCAATTGTGTGTCATTGGCTCTGCATTGTGGCCCGCGGATCACTCTCATATTGTTTGCAGACTTCTTGTATGTGTTTTTTCGCTCTTATTCGCTACTCCTGTTTTGATTGACCGCTTGCCGCTTCGCAGGCAACACAGTTGACACAATCATTGCCCAGCCGTGCCAAGCCTCTCCAACGACTCCATGTCCTCGTCCTTGCTTCCTGCCCTTGCAAACCTTGGCACAGGTCCAGGCTATCCAGACCCGCTGGGCTTAGCTGCACATTCGACTCGCAACCATGTGTCTCCTTCCTTCCCCCAACATGACTCCAGTGTGCAGGGGTAAGGTGTTGGGACATAGCTTTCTGCTGGCCACTGCGTTCGCGCCGGTCGGCCGGGCTTTGTAGTGTGAGCAAGATCGTAGGTGCTAATCTTGCAGACATGCGTAGTGCACATGCGGTTCCGTGCCCTGTCATAGAAGGACAGGGGGTGCTGGACGTCTCCGAATCTGAGAGACGAGCACCAGGAACGGGTGGCAAAGGGCCTCCGACACAGAATTAACACAAGGCGCTGCCAGCTGCTGGCTGCGAGGTGTGCTCCATGCTCAGGTGCAAGCAGACAGTTATGCCTTATGCCACGAACAGGACGCTGGCTAGTGAAGGAAAGACAGCCTGCCGCAACTTCCCGATCAACTGGAGGATGTGGGTATACTTCCTGGGCCCAAGCACCACGCGATCATCACCGAAAATGCGCCTAAACGAGTTCGCAAGCGGAGCTTTCTCAAAATGACTGCACCTTGGAACGATGAGAGACATGACAGCGGGATGTTTGTAAGCAGAATGCGAAAGCACCTCTCCCTTCTCCACGAAGGTGTCAAACCTCGGTCGCATAAAACCATAGAAGCAGGTCAGCTTTGCATCTGCGACTGATGAAACCTCAGCACATCCATGGCTCACCGATTGCACATTCATTGAATGCGCCCCGCCAGCGTCTGCTAGCGCAAAGATGGCACGAGCAGTCTCACAAGCAGCCTCTCGGGACGGCGCTCCGTCTTCGCCTTCCGCCACAGAGTGTCGTAGAAGTCCCTCTCCGCTGGCGAGAGCTCCAAGTGCTGTACCTCCATGCAGCTCAGATTCTTCGGCAACTTCGGGGACTCATGTTGAAGTTTGCATAGCCCCATGACCACACAAGCTGAAAGCAGGGGCACATGAACATGCTTCATGGGCAGCTTCAGCAGTGGCTCTCCCGTTTGCGGGTTAACCTCGGAGCACAAAAGCGAGAATAAGACCACCCGAAGCAAAAGTGATTCTCATCAAAATCGATATGCATGTCAAAATCGCGATCGCCCCAGCGGATCAACTCTTTCCACATCTGTTGCTCTTCTGCCGACTTCGTGGGAAGTTATCACATCACATCAGGATACAGGTGAAATGGGCAAACCAATTTTGTTTGCCATGCCCTTATCAGGGCATCTGACATGAAGTGCTTTGGTTGCGCTCTGCATGGGCATGACAAAGCAAGTGGATCATCATGACAGCTCCAGAAGGCGTAAAGCTGCCACTAAAGGTCACCAAAGCAGAAACACTGCCCGACAACTACGAAGTTAACATCTTACCAAGGCCACCAAAGTATGATGTATCGCGTTTTTCGTAGAGTTGCCGGGGCAAGTCTCCATTAGTTCCAGACTGAGCCTGCCTGCAGCGGCCTCAGATACTTGGCTTGAGCACACAGGCCGGAAAATCTTCCGAGTGTGAGACAATGCGGCTTCACCAATCTTGCCTCTCCAGTTAGTCTTCGCAGTTTTGCAATCTGCCGGGCAACGGGTGAGCCTATCCCGAGCGTAAGCCCATCCCCGAATTACCTGCAGCTCGGGTATGCATGAAACGGTGCGAGGCTTCGCCTAACCACACCACTTCAACCCGGATTGGTTGAGAGGCTATCACTTCACTTGCCTTGGAGTCAGCCAGAAGGCAGAACAGAGGGTCACGATCAGCAGACGACTAAACTTCGTGCCTCTCCCAATCTGCCTCTTCAACCCCGACATCATCCAGCATTTCAGTTGCAGCTATGTGCGCGTTGCAGACCAGCCGCTTGCCATCATCATCCGAACGAATTCATCATAGTTGATGAGCCCGTCCCCATCAAGATCGGCTTCCCGGATCATCTCATCCACCTTGCAGGTGTGCCGATTTCTCTGTTCTCTTGCGCACTGGGCCGAACCGTTCCCCACGCGTGCACCGTCTATCTCGCAACAGGCCTCAGTGTCGTTGAGTTTCTCGCCCAAGTTCCTGAAGAAAGGGCCGAGAGAGACGAGGAGAATGACACGCCAAGACACATGCAGATGAAAGTGAGCGCACGTGCATTCAGACACTACCGATGCTTGCCGGGGCCAGTGCGTCATGGATGTTCGGAGCTCGCTAGCAGAAATGAAGCCATCGCGATCGCGGTCAAAGACCTCCGCAATACTTCAACTACAAGAGGATATCGCCAGGTGAACCGTGCCGCGCGCACATCGGAAGTATGCAGAGGCCTTGAACGCCTCGATGAGTTCTTCTTCCGTGTCTGTCTCCTGTAAAGGAGCAGGAGCACTTGAACGAATCCACAAAGGAACACCTTCACAGCAAACATGGGGCAACAGGCAGGCTTTCCTTGAGCTTTCTGGACATGAGGGACAGGAAGGTGTGGAAGTCGATGCGCGTGCTGAGAGGGCAAAGGTTTTGCTGTAATCTTGTGCGTACCCATACTGACATACTGACCACAAACATATACACGGGCATGCATAAGGCACACATATACATACACATACACATGCACATATACCTTTACGTAAACTTGTTTAAAGTTTGTAACTGAATCTGCAACCTAGCGGACCTGACATGCTATAATGCAACATGGCACGGTATGACGTATGTACACTTGTGTGCGAGAGAGAGAGTGTGTGTGTGTGTGTGTGTGCTATGCATACATACATGGAAAGCTTTGTTGTATGTGTATATATATATATGTATGCATGCAGACATGCATATAAATACAGACATAAGCGCCCGCACACACATACATACCTGCCTACCGACAACCTACCCACCGCACATAACGTGCAGACATGCATACATGTATGCATACGTACATATACATCCATCCATCCATCCATCCATCCATCCATACATTACACACCAAGGCACATATAATATACCAAACAAATACACGCAGTCAAACATGCATACGCACAGGCATACAGCCGCATACGTATACGCTTAAACGCATGGTGCATACATGGAAAGCTGCCTCTGCATACAGCCGTACATGCATGAGTGCACACATGCACACATGCCACGAAGCCAATGTACGCACGTACATATGCACGTACATGCGCACCATACGTATATGGAAACGCAGTGTCGTGTTGGTAGCTATTGTTGTGGCTGCTGCCGTGGTTGTGGTTGTTGTTCTTCTTCTTCTTGCTGCGGTTGCCGCTGCTGCTCTTATTATTCTTCCTTTTCTTATTCACGGTGGGGTGCTTTATGATGTTTTCATGCGCAAACCATCTGCAAGGGCATCTGTGCAGAGACTTCTGACTATCGTCGTTCCAGCACCGCGGGTTGACAAACGGGGTTTCCGGAAGTTTCCTGCTTCCCAGCGTATGCCCCGCAACGTCGGATGCTCTTGGGGTCTGAGGCGGCGTTCTCTTGGAGCGTACATTAATAATAGTTATAATGTGTGTATATGTACGTGTGTACATATCCATACATACATACATACATACATACATACATACATACATACATATATATATATATATTATATATTTATTTATTTATTTATTCATATATCTATCTATTTAACATACATACATACATACATACATACATACATACATACATACATACATACGTACATACATACATGCATACATACATACATACATGCATTTTGGCACTCGCGCTCGACAAGGTCAACATGCATACATACATTCGTATTCATTCTGTTGGTTTGTTGATTTCTTTCTGTCTATATACAAGCCTGCAGACAGCAGGTACACACCTGACATCTGATGATGTTTTGGCACTGATGGTGGATGGATGAGATCACTGTAACGTCAGGCCGAGAGGCTCATGCTCCCCGTCACCACCAATCCAGTCTTGCAGCTCTTGTTCAGTCGGGTTTTGGCCAAGCGAACCTTCAGAAAGAACAGTCACAGTTCGTCCTCTAGACTGGAGCTCGGTAGGCAGTGAAAGCTTGCAAACTGTCCAAGTCAAGCCGAGACTCTGAGCAACGTCCCAAACTCCTGCAAGAAGAACCATCTCACGCGTGCAAAACGAAGATCCAAAGTTCTAGCTTCTGCCAGGTGTGTGCATGTCCTTCAAGGATAGCTTGTCATCCTTGTCCTCGTCAAAGAGTTTGAAAGTCTCGTAGAACTCGCCTCGAGCGGGATGCACACTGCCAGCTGGCTGTCCGAAGGATACCCTTCCGTCGGACCCCATGTGCAATAATACTCGCCATGTGTTGTTGCTACACAGCATGAACCACATACGAGGAGCAGTTGAAGAGACATAAAGTTAGTCTCTTAGGGCAAGGGGCTGATCTGCTCGCGCACGAGCGCGTCAGCCATGATTAGATCCAGGTGCGGCTGACAGTCAAAGCTGCTTTGAGCCCAGCTTTACCGCGAGCATTGTTGAACCCTTGTTTCCCTGAGCTGCAGCGCTTCAAGGCACATTCCTTTCATGGCTAGTTCCGCCTCGACAGTGCGTCCTTACGTCACCGGGTCGACAATCGTACTAAGCTGGCTGCAGTGGATTTCGTCCGTCGCAGAATCAACGGTGTCACCTCACCCCAGCTGGCTCTCGCAGAAAGAAGCTGTTGTAGGCGTAGGTACATTGTAACAATGTAGGTTAACTTGTCGAATCAACAACAACGCAGATCGCCTAGCCGTCGCTGCTGATGCTACAGCTCGACGCCGCGAAGAGAGACGGTGGGCTACATAAGTGGCTCTGTCGGCTCCGGCCCGGTATTCTTCAGAATTGAGCCCGCCCCTCGGCTCCGGACAATGCGCCGAGCAGTGTCCAGTGCCTGTGTCATGGCATCGGGATCACCGTGGCGCCCTCGGTGAATCTCACCAGGAAGCGTGCACGAGGAAGGGTGGAAAGGCTGTCCGTCTAGCTGCAGCCTGTTGGGCTGCACAGGCCAAAGGCTCTGCGACAGCAAGGTGGTGCCTTCTGCTGTCAAGGCCATTCAGGCCCCGACCACGCTCCAGAGGTATCGCCTGAGGCGTTTCGGATGCATAAACAAGAAGTCTGCCAGAAAGCTTACATGCTGCACTGCAATTCACAGCCGCGTTCTGCGGCCAATCTCTGTGATTCTGTTCGTGCCTGCATGGCTCTCGATTCTCGGAGTCGCCATCCGTTTTCCGACCCGTCACCAGCAGGCTAAGACTGCAGCAACAGCTTTGCGCCAGCACGGCCATGCGCACCAAGGCTCCACACCTCTTGCTGGGAGCCCTCTCTTAAGATCCCAAATGTGTGAAACCGTGTCGACAAGCTCCGAGCGCAAGAACCGTACCGTGGAGTAGAGCTCCTCTACACTGTTCTGAAGAGGCCTCGGCCCACGAGCTTTTACCAAGAGTGTGCTCTGTACCGCGCACTCCTGGGTTTCCAGCGTGCCTGTGACACACCTCATGCTGTCACGCTGCAATCACCACGAAACGCTTCAGTGCCGGCACAACGAGCACACGGCCATCTGCAGAAGCCTCGCAGCTGGAAAGCCGCCTGTGCTTGCCTGCATCTGATCGCAACGAACCTTTCGTGTCTTGCGTGGCGTCATGCATCAGCGGCTGCGAGACGGCCTGCTGCAACGGTTCTTGATGCTATGGGCCTGGCGCGATTCATCAAGTGCTTCGTCTGGGTCATCCAGCTCAGGAAAACCCAGTATCGTGGTGCTTCTTGTTGCGATGGCTGCGTACAGGTATCAACTTCATGTTACCCCTTGCCCAGCCAAAGGCTCTGTGGCATCTTGGACCGCCGACATACCGGCAATGTCAGTCAACCCTGCAGCACAATCTAACCGAAACAGCAGAACTCACCCTGCAACTCAATCTCCAGCCCAGCCTCCCAATTTTTAGAGGCTGGCAAGGATCGCATCTCTATAGGCGCACTCAGGACATGATTCAATCGCAAAAGGGCCGAGAGAGCACCTCATCGAGGATGATTCTCCTGCTCGTGCACCGACAGGGACAAGTGGTGATCAGTGAGATTCAGCTTACGGCACCTACACGACTGCCCTCTGATCCCGATTTTATTTGTGCATATCTGTGTCAAGAGGTGCGCGACAGTTGGCTCACTCCTCCAGTACACCTGGAAAAGCAATGAATCTTGTGGTTGGGAGGCCAACCTGGGATGCGCAGCATGATGGGGCGACATCAGGACTCTGGTAGTGTCGGAATATTGCTCGCCCTAACGCGCCCTACCATATTGAGTCCCTGGCGTATTGTAGGTGGTCAAAACGATCTTGGCACGAGGGCGAGTGTACATGTACACAGATCCAATACATCCTCAGGAATCCCAGCACAAAGCATCCTGAATCCATGTTCCAACTTTTGCAGTTGGTGCACGTACACCAGCCGACACATCAACTTCCCACACAATCCTCAACAACCCGCCAGGTTTCGACCACTTCAAGTTTGCACCTCACTGGAAGAAGGGGCTTATTCATATAATGGCAAGACAACGCCTGACAAGTTCTTTGCCACCCCAAGTCGCAGCTCATAGCGAATGCAACCGACAGCACTGGCAAGTCACAGGTAGCAAGTCTGTCGAGAGAACGACAAAAACTCTTTGATGTTTGGTCAGCCGAAACACCTTCGAGGCTTCCAAAGGGGTACCGCATGAGTCGGCGAGAAATCCTAGTGTACTGCTTGGGTCCAGGCCCCGGTGTTTCGCAGCTGATCCAAGGAGATGTTCTTGCCTGCGACATGTTCTAGATGTTCTCCGGACTTTGACGAAGCCGGTTTAGTTCTACAACAAAAGCCCCCTGGTTCGCCGAGAGTTGCAGAGAAGAGTGCAGGATTTAAGCCAGGTTGAGGACTGATGTCGAGGGTGTAGGGTCTTTTTCCCAGAGGTGTAGAGGGCTTTTTGGGTTGTAAGAGGCTTACATGACAGCCTTTCCACTTTCTTCATGATTCATGAATTCCAAAGGAAGGCTCAGGAGCAGAAACGCCATGCATTGAAGCAAGTTACACTAGGTGGAAACTCGGGGCACCCTTGTCATCAATTTGCCATGACTTTTTGTCATAACCTCTAAGGAAGACCTCTTTTTGCATCTGGCGTAGAACGCTGCAAATGGAAAAGTTAGATTCGCTCGACAATGCTTAAACACAACCCAGTCCCAGCACAAAAGCACGAATGGGCCAGATAGCCGTGCAGGAACCTGAACCATGGAACTCATGGATCGATGGGACGGCTGAATCGAAGAAGTGCTTCTGAGCCTGGACGATTGACTTGGCACACTCTTCCGATCCCCACTCATGCCTGCCTCCGAGAACCACTGCCGAATCAGCGAGAGCGGCGCTACCTCGCCGAGAAGCTTTCCCGACTCCATGACCAGGCGCTGTTCTCTCTTTTGTAGGGGTAGACTCATCTCTGTCATTTGGACCCTGTTTGGTCAAGCTTGTGAAGGCTCTCAGGGCCCGGCAACCAGAACACCACCAACGCCGCCCGCATCTTGCCCCCTCAGGCAGGACAATGCGCGTTCTTCAGCTTGTCCATTGGGGTGTGCTCCCAAGATCGGTGCTGAAAGAAGGCGTTCTTCTGGTTAGACGAAGCATCTGCTTCCTCCCAACAAATTAAAAGACTGCATGGATGGCATGCCTACCTCTCGCTCATGTGTTATCCTGCATCAAGGCTCACCTCGGAATTACCGATCACCACCACCGAAGTGTCCGCACTGCTGCAAGTGGGCTGCCAGAGCAAGGCAGGGCAGGACACGGTGCAGCAGCCAAGAAGCGGCAGACGTCCTCCAGCATTCGAAGCTCCGGCGCAGCCTTCCGAGCCTAGCCGCCCAAGGAGTCTTGAGAAGAAGATAGAAGCACACAGTTGTTGAGCCCACAGCTGTTGGCAAGCTGGAGGGGCCATAATCCAGCGCGGTCAGTGCTAGACACATAACCTCTGACAAAGCGATAGAAGATTCGCCACTCAACGACAGTCTCACACAGCTTTAAGCTGGCAGCGGTCTTGCCCAAACCCATGTCATCGGCCAGTATGCCCCCACGGCAATGCCTCCACCCAGCTGTAAGGACAAGAGATCTGCTTTGCCTTGAGCGAAGTGAGGCACGAGCGCCAGAGCCGCATCTGGAAAGTCGAGCGACAAGGCCTGGACAAGTAAAATTAACTACCAGAGTCTGGACTATCTGCATAAGCCCACATGCTCGTGCTAAGACTGAAGCGCCGGTTGTGCGATGGTAGTACAGGTAGCGCGTTGACTCCTTGCCTGACAATAACACGACGACACCCTGACGGATGCTTTTCAAAGGCCCTCTGGCTTGCCGCCAGGCCTCCGGGCAACGGACCTGTCTCCTCTGGCAGCTCATACTCATCCTCGGAATGCTCTCAGGCTCTGGGGCGGGAGACCATGGGAGAACACTGTACCCTGAGCAGAGGACCCACATGGGATGCAGCTGCCTTTCATGTGGCGGCCTCAGTACAGCCAGGAAACTGCGATCTCTCACGACAAAAACGCACGCCGCAGACTGCCTCGCAACACTGTGACAGCCTGCAGGCCTTCTAAGCTCTTGGCTCCTGTGCGGCTTGCGACCTGAGAAGGAGTCACGAGTGTGCGAACAGACGAAGAAAGACGGCACAGCGACAACTTATAAGCCCTGCACGCTTTTGGACTCGCACAGGCCTCAACCTCCAAAAAGTAGGCCAACCGTAGTTTAGACGACAATGCCAGAGCATCTCAATTAATTCTGCCAAAAAAACATGTAGCAATCGGACGAACAAAGTCTTCAAGTGCGACATACCTAAACTTTACCTAGGCCTTGGCACTGCCATGAAGCGGAGACAACAACCAAACCACATCAATCACAACATGTAACATCGAAGGTCAATTTACTACTTCCGTGGGATTGCCTCTTCGTCTCTGTGCGGATCAGGATTCTTGAAGCACGACGGCCTGAGCCAGCTAAGGTCGAAAGAATAAGCACATAGCCTTGGCAGCTGTCGATGCCACCAACACGACTGGGCTCTCTGGCAGGGACGATGTGGGGTTCTCCCTTTGCCACATCCAGAACCTGAAGTTCGCATTCCGATTGTCGTGCCAATGAGATAGGAAGTATACCACGACTCCGACGACATGAGGTCCTGACACTGCCTGAGCCTGGTATGGTCTCAGCCTACCCCACGCTTGTTCCGTCGAAGCACGCATCTCATGAACTCTGCAACCATGAGCCCGCACCTCGTCTCAAAAATGCCACTTGGCAAGACGATCCCGGGCAGATCATGTCGCTCAAGCTGGTCACCTTGCTACGCAACCCTCAGCAGAAAGTGCGTTTCAAGCAGAGCACCTTGACCGATCTTGGGGCGCGGCTTCTGCCTAGCTGAGCTGCCGCAACTCTGGACCTCACGCTACACAGACGCTACAGGAAGAGCCCTGCATTCAGCCTACGCTGCCCTACCAAGTTACCAGCAGCTGCCAACAAGCCCGAGTGGATGGCATCTCCTCTTCCTCCTCCGGCTCCTCCTCCATGCCTCCTGAAACCAGCGTTGCTCTCAGAAGTGCTTGATCGTTGCTTGGCTTCTGGTTGATGCCATTGGCAAGTCGCCCTTAAATTGAAAGTGAAGTGACGTGTTCTCACAGGCACAGTCTTCTTGGCCTTCGGCTTTGGGCGGAGGCTCATCCGCCGCATTGACCATCACGTCGCCCTCGAAGGCAGCATGCCGACGGCAAGGCAATTTCAACCTTAGCTCCGACAAACCCGGCTAAGATCACACAAGTGAAAACCGGCAGGCAGAAGCAGGTTGCAGACCAGGGTGGGGTTCAGAGAAACCCAGAGTTGATAAGAAACCGCTTTAACAAGCAACTGTCAAATTAGCTGTTGCGAGATGCACATGCAGCTTCTTTCAGTTGTTTTGAGGCCAGGACTTGTCCAATAACATGCTTGTGGACGTACGCTGAATTTCTTTGTCAGCCTCTTCTTTGTGCACCTGATGTCGCAGGTTTCGCAGGTGTGCAGGCAGGTTTGATGGCACTGGTCCAGAACCGAGTCGGCGGCTGCTTTCTGATTCTGTCCCTTGGACTTGCTTTTGGCATTCTCTGCTTCCAGGGGCTGGCCAGTCTGGGCAGTGACGGTGCTGGTGCTCTGCCCCGGAGTTCGCAAGGCAACAGACCGCAAAGACACGCGCACCACGACAGGCAGGTCGGTGCCCAAGTCCAGAGCTCGGGGTGGATCCCGGCCAACCACCGCCTCCACATCGATGAGCCGCCGGGCGAGGAGTGGAACCAAAGTCTTGTTCGCGTCCGCTGAGAAACGGCCCACCTCTTGACCACAAGCATCGAAGCGGATAGTTCCTGTCTCTGCACCCACCTGTGACGAAGCTGTGCCAGGTCGGGCCCGTGACTTCTTGGCCTCAACGGCCCACCTCAGCTCCAGTCGCCGCCCCGGGCACAGGAGCGGTCCGTAGCTGCCGTCGGCATCCCCTGTTGGGAAGCGCTGCTCTGCCCCAAGCCGGACCGTGCTCCACGCTTTAAATTGGACACTGCCCAAAGCCATGGACCACTCGATGTTGCAAGTGCGGCTGCGGGTTGCGGGCTTTGCCGAAGCCTCCGAGCTGCGGGGTCCGGAGGTCCGGCGCTTCTTCGGTGGGGGGTCACTCGCTTCTGGCTTCGCCTTCATCAGGCCCAGGAAGCTACCCCGGGCCCGGCTGCCGCTGCTAGCACTTGGCACTTGCGCAACTGCTTGTGCCTCTGATGCTGCTGCTGCTGCTGCTGCTGCTGATGCTGCTGGCGGCTGCACCTGCACTTTGCCCTCCTTGGTGCATGCGAGCATCAAAGAGTCGTGGCCAACTTGTGTTCATCACATGCTCATTTACATGACAGCTTGCAGCTCAAAGTCGACTGGCTTTGCCAGCAGGTCCTCGCCATCCGAGTCATCTAGCCTTGCAAAACTCAAGAAGTAACTACAGTTACCCAGAAACCTGCAGTGGTCCCACGTTGTCCGTTGCTTGCGTCCTACATTTCTACGTGCAACAAGTTGTCTAGGAAGTTGAATTCCTCGATATTCCTCGCACACCCTCCCCAAATGTCGCGCTCTTTCCGCATCCCAGGCAGATGAAGGTTGCAAAGCTTGGGAGCCAAGGGGTGATCCCCAATGCCCATGTTAAATCTGATCTGATTCACCGGCTGCTCTCAATGCTCCTGCTATACATAGTCAACAACGTCCGCTACTTCCTCACTTCCTACCTCTGCTGCCACCGCAAAGTGCACAAGCAAAAATATTCCAACTACACAGGCAGGACGTCAATAACAAACAAGAAGTTCAAAAGCTATAGAGCTGACGCTGTGCAAGGGGCTCAATCTCTATGGTCTTGCAGGGCCGCGCCGGCGCCGTTGCGGGTGCATCGAGGAGAAGATTCACTGCTGCAGCTAGATCACCACCTTCCACTGGACAGCTCTTGAAGATACGGAACCTAGCTGCATCGCGGCCTGACCGCTGCCATGCCGATGCCAGTGCATCATCAGGCAGGCCTGCTCCCACGACCTGCAACCGGTTCTCTTACGTGCTGAGCCCTGCCAGATCCCGTCTGCCTCTCGGAGCAGCACCAGCTGTGCAGGAGGAGCCCCCATGCCAGGGCCGCCCTGACATGCACCTGGAAGGACAGGCCGCCACATCTGCATCTGCGCGCAATGTGCCGCAACTCCGAAACCCAGGAGTGCCTCCACCCCAAAGCCTTCGGACCACAGCGGCCCCGGCTCTAGGAAGCAGAGATGTTGAGAACAGATCTGAGTGTTTACAGGTGCTCGGTGAAATGTGCACACATGCGCCTCTGACGTGATGGAGCTTCTTGATGCGAGCACTTCTCGTGTGCAAAACTTATACAAACAACGGCCGGATTTGAAATTGCGGAGTCGCATCCTCGAAAATGCTAGCACAAGATCCGAATTTGCCGCAACGGCTATTCTGCCCCGCATTGGGTTTATGAGGAGTGGAGCTCGAGCCGAAAGCGGGCAAAAATGGAAGTTCTTGCCAGATTTGCCAACACCGCATAGTCTCGAACCGGTCATTTCGACACGACGGCATGTATCCGGCTGTATAAAGCTGCGGAAATGCAGCACTAGGCATCCTCACACCATCGATTCTCTTCCCTGACCTCGTTGCAGGATGCAAGTGCCTAGCTTGTCGCATCTTGGTGGATAAAACTGCACGGCCTGAGCCTCCTCTTCGGGGGTAAAATCGTTGACGATGTTGAACTGCTTGCCTTGCATCCAGGCACGACCGGCTTTCAACGCTCACCGTGCCTAGATGCAAACAGGCTTGATATCCGGTTGCAAGCAGGGTTCGAATCTCTTCGGTGTTCTTGCCCTTGATCATAGAGGCGACTTTCGCGCAGGTGAGGTCCAGCAAGCTCTTTATGTCCAGATAGTTGGCCGCCAGGATCAACTCAAAGAGGACCTCGCCAAATGCAAGTTCAAAGAACTGCCACAAGGCAGCATCGTGCGCCTCCTGCTCAATGTTCACGTACTCGCTGTCCCACTCCGACACGCCGCACTCCACCAGATTGGTGCTCTTCAGCGGCTTTTGAATCTCCTCGGGAGGGTTGTCCTTGTGGTACTTGCAATAGTCAATCACCTGGAGCTCGACGCTAAGCCATTCCGGCAATTCAAGCGCTTCATGCTTAGCTGACAATTCGCGGACCGGACCTTGCTGAGTATCGCAGTCTTTACGTTCGGCAACGGGATTTCCTCATCCGTCCCACTGTCCTTTTTGAGGCTACCGAGACTTTCTGCCTCCGAGTGTCATTGAAAGCAGAGACCCGTTGTCTACTACGGCACTGCGCTTAAAATGCCAACTGGCTAAAAATCATCTCCTCAACCATGTTCTTGATCAGGGTCGACATGGTAGCAACCTGTCGATCATGGTCTATTCTGAAGCCTCTGTGTCAAAACCCCCGTACTTCGCATCCGGAAGCAGCCTCAGGATCGACCTCAAAAATCTCACCCTGGGAGGACTTCAGCTTCAGCTTGTCACCATCCGCCATGGCGCAAGATTCGAAAGTGAGCTGCCTCTCTTTCACGTGGCACCCAAAATTCCAGCAGTTGGCCCACTGAAGAGCAATAAGGCCCCGGCTCTTCAGGAAGATCGGCGTCAAAGAGTCCAGCTGCCCGCTCTATTCGCGAATTGCATCCATGATCCGAGCAGCAGCGGGTGGATCGGATGGGAAGAACTACCGGATCTCAGTGACCGCAGCAGGCCCACACCCGCCTCGCCCGGCTCCAAGAACCACGGTTTTTCCGGCATGGAAGGACTCGATCCGAATTGGCACTAGCGTGCACAACACTGCTCCTAGCAAGCAGCCTTACACTGTACACTCAGCTCTTGCGGCCGAGCTCAACCCTTCCAGGATGGCCATCCAGTACTACACTTGGTAGACTCAAGTGTAGAGGGTCAACGAGTCTAGGCATCCTCACACCATCGATTCTCCTCACGGACCTCAGGCTGCTTGGGGCCACCATGTCCAGACGCGTTGCACCCCCAAATCTAGTGCACCTGCGCTTCCTCCTCGGGAGTGAAATCGTTGACGATGTTGAACTGCTTGCCTTAATCGCAGTTTCGCAGAACAAGCAGCAAGATGTGAAGCATAGTCAAGCAGAGCTGTCACCCATGTGGGCCAACTTCTGCGCATGACTCCATGACCGGACCATGAATGCAAGCGAGGTGAGAGGAAGTAGACAAAACGGTAGTGGCGAGATGCGAATTTCTTCGGTGTTCTTGCCCTTGATCATGGAGGCGACTTTCGCGCAGGTGAGGTCCAGCAAGCTCTTTATGTCCAGATAGTTGGCCGCCAGGATCAACTCAAAGAGGACCTCGCCAAATCCAAGTTCAAAGAACTACCATTGTATGAGTGGAACTGCTTTGCACTTTGCAAGCTCTGGAATCAAGCAAATAAACATTTTGTGAGAAAAGTGTGAGCTTGAGTGTGGGAGAAAGTGTGAGCATGAAAAACCGTCCGACTTTCTTTCTTTCGCCAGGGCTAGGGACAAGGGGAAGCTCCCGCTCACAGCGCCCGGGTCCCACTCACACTCCCGCTCACACTTTTCTCACACTTCCTCACACTCCCGCTCACACTTTTTGCTATGTTTACAGCTCTATGTTTCACAGCAGAACAGTGTGAGGAGAGGTGTGGGCGGGAGGTGTGAGCGGGAGTGTGAGAAAAGTGCGAGAAAAGTGTGAGCGGAGTGTGAGTGGGACAAAGACGGGACACTTCCGCTCACTCTTCCGCTCACATTCTGGCTCACACAAATCTCACAGAAATAATGTTCTTTCAGACTATCCCAACGCTTCCAGGACCCTCCACTCATAAGCAGCATAGTGCGCCTCCTGCTCAATGTTCACGTACTCGCTGTCCCACTCCGACACGCCGCACTCCACCAGATTGGTGCTCTTCAGCGGCTTTCCAATCTCCTCGGGAGGGTTGTCCTTGTGATACTTGCAATAGTCAATCACCTGGCATTCGGCGCTAGCAGCCATCCCTGTGCCGCTACAAACCAGCGGTTGCACCTTGCTCAGAATTGCAGTCTTCACATTTGGCAGAGGGATCTCCTCATCCGTGCCACTGTCCTATCCCCGCAGGCAAGAAACACAATCGGCAGCAGTTCAGAACTTCAGGAGGTACCCCTTGCAAAAACTTCCTCGACCATGTTCTTGATCAAAGTTGACATGGTCGCTACCTGCCGGTATGCCGCCGCACCGCGCAAACAGGGCTCTGACACATCTCCTCAGGGTCGACTTCGAAGATCTCCCCCTGTGAGGACTTGAGCTTCAGCTTGTCCTCTGCCATTGCAGCTTGGGCCAGCCTTGGCTTGGCACTGGGTACGCTGGTCATGGGGGTGCAGTGCTTGTGATTTGACAGGTTGTGTTAGCGTTGCTGTTTCTGAACTGGAAGTCGTGGTTTAGCCTTACCCCAAAGCCGCTGCTGGGATGTTAGGCAGTTTGATGGGAGCCCACGCGATTGTGCCGCTTTCCGGCCTTGCGAAGGGCACCGGCAAAAAAGCAGCGTCTCACAGCCACAGAGGACAAGAGACGCAGCACACCATAGCACACCCCGGCAGCAAATCCCACCTGCGAAGTCAACCGGACAAGCTGCTGGCCGCCCGCTTCAATCCCCAGACAAGCCCGAAGACAACATTCCTCCTGAAATGATGTGGCCACTGAGGTTCCAGCGCGGCTTCTGCTGCTTGGGAATGGCGCTGCAAGCCAAATAATATTGGCGAGGACAAGATCTTCAAACATCTTCACGCCTGGCATAAAACTGACTTCCTGATTGCATGCTTTGCCCGACAATCCAATGCACCACCGGTTGATTTTCATTCACTGCAGCAGAAATACTTCTGCGGCTTGTTCGCACTCTCGGCAAACTGTTTCGGCTTTCATTTCTCTGTAAATGCCCGCGAGAAGATGATGAACGCCAAATCGTTCGCAGTGATTGAGTAGTGCCACCAACACCATTCACGCGAGCTTAGTGCGGAATTCGACTTACAAAAGAATAGACAATTGCGCACAAGACATTTCAGCCGATTGTATTTTCACAAATCAACAGTTGATTGCATAACGGCGGAGGCCGCACGGCCTGCTGGCTCTTGAATGTCTTGCGTCCAGCCCAGGGAGCGTTACTTACGTTACTTGAGCTATTAATTGAAGCCGCTCGTACGTAGTGCACGCAGTGCTGGATGCCAAATTGAATGTGCAACAACAGTTGCTGCCGTGATATGCACAAAGTTCACACATGGTCTCTCCTCAGAGACCGCCGGCGCTCTAATGTGTCCAACACTCTCTCTGGCGAGACACAAAGCTGGTGGAGTCACCGGCAAAATCGCAACGCATCTTGATAAATCGACCAGACGCTTTCAGCGGAATTCAGATGACCGTCAGCGGCATCATCATTCCCCCACAAGATGGTCTGAAGACAAAGGAGTCAAGGTGCGACGACCTGACAGATTGCTTCGGACAGTGCTGGGCAGCAGCTCGAGCTGGCTGAGCATGAGGCTGAATCCCAGGAAGTTGCGCGTAATCGGCCTCGGGTTCACCGGGTAGATGAAGCGTGTCCTCTCTGCACTGACACGGACTCCACGTTGCCTGGACAATAGAGGACGAGGACGAGGATTTTGAGGAGGACGGTGTGTTGGATGAGGATGATGAAGGAGCCAAATCCACTTCGTAGAGTCTGGCAAGCTGCGCAGTGAGAACCTGCGATACAGGACGAAAGTAGTGCCTTCTTTTCTACGGCCACCTCAACTTCCACCTTCCGCTTCTTGGCAAGAAGTTCAGGGTGCTCCACACAAAGGTTCTTGGCCATTGCCTGCAGGAAGCTGATTGTTTGAGGACGGTGGCCGTGGGCCTTGCTCATCAAACGCTGAGCTGGGGACTTGCACTTGTTCAGCGCACTGAACTTCCTCCTTTCCCGGCAGCTCCTGGTGCGAACCCGCATGGCCAATTCCTCCACATCCCAAGAATTAGGGTCCCTTGTACTGCGCCTTGTGAATGACGGATTCTGTGCCATCATCTTGAAGGATCTGCAAACCCAGTCCAGGTGGAGCCCAGCCTGTGCTACCACAAGCTTTGCGGTCGCTGCTCTTGGGGCCTTTCCTGAGACAGCGGCGCAGCAACAGCTTCTGCAACTTCATCCTCAGGGAAACAGAGATAAAACGATCAGCGCGGTCTGCCGCTGGCAAGTGTCGGAAGCACAGCTTAGCCACAAGACAAGGCAGCCTTGTGCGGAAGCGGGTTTGGCAGGGCTGCTGCTGCGAGAGCTGCGAGAGCCAGAGGCTGAAACAAGGTTGGCAACATGTTGTTTTGCACCCTTCGCAGCCTTCGCAGGGATCAACAGCTCAATCCACCTTCTTTTATATCTAGCCGATCTCTGTACACACCGGCAGAAATCAGGGACATGCTGTTACCCTCAGCAGATCTGGCAAACTGCAAAGGATCCTTTGCGGCCAACACTACATGATGCTCTTGTCACGTAGCCATGCTGCTCATGAGGCTGTATGGATAACGTCGTCTGAACCTGTGACTGGCATTGACTAAGATTGTTACTATTCGTCAGGATGAAAGCCCAGCTGACATCGCAGGGTAAGCAAGATTGGGCTTGTTGCTAGACCGCTCGAGTGCTGCAGTCTCACGCATCCTCACACCAGCGGTTCTCTTCCCTCACCTTCGAACCACCGCACAGCCAGAGCAACTTGCTGACGATGATAAAAATTTGACATCCACAGTATTCGTCTTTGCCTGGGCTTCCTCCTCAGGGGTGAAGTCGTTCACGATGTTGAACTGCTTGCCTTCGGGTCCACCCCAAACCCTCTGTCTGCGTTTTTTGAAGAACGATCTGTTGAAGCACACTCGGAAACAAGTGACAAGCAGGATTGCGGCAAGATGCGAATCTCTTCGGTGTTCTTGCCCTTGATCATGGAGGCGACTTTGGCGCAGGTGAGGTCCAGCAAGCTCTTTATGTCCAGATAGTTGGCCGCCAGGATCAACTCAAAGAGGACCTCGCCAAATGCAAGTTCAAAGAACTACTGCCACAAGACAGCATAGTGCGCCTCCTGCTCAATGTTCACGTACTCGCTGTCCCACTCCGACACGCCGCACTCCACCAGATTGGTGCTCTTCAGCGGCTTTTGAATCTCCTCGGGAGGGTTGTCCTTGTGGTACTTGCAGTAGTCAATCACCTGGCATTGGGTACTACTCAGTCACGCCTGTCCTGCACTCGGACACATGGGTGAGGGTTAACAGTTTCAGAGTAATTACTTCCTTCCCTGTTTGCGGCTCCGATCGCGCTTGCACGATGGACCGTTTCGGGCAATCGGTCACGGAGAATTCCGCGTCTTCCGGTGTCGATCCTCGTGACGGAACGGATTTTGGTGCACTGACTGGAGTATAGAGACCTCGGCCAAGACCACAGACATGTCATAGATAAACAAACATAGAGCATGCAACCCTGAAGGACACCTGCCCCTCACCTACCTTGCTCAGGATAGCTGTCTTCACATTCGGCAGTGGGATTTCCTCATCTGTCCCACTGTCCTCTTTCGCATGTGCCGTGACTTGTCCACTGCACAGTGAAGAATAGCGCAGAAGTTCTGGCATGTTTTTGCAAAATCCACCGGAGAGTGAAGTCCTCGACCATGTTCTTGATCAGTGTCGACATCGTCGCAACCTGGCGAAGAGTAAAGGTCAGCATCACATGCCACAGCCTTTGGCAAGAGTCTGGAGGGCTGGGAGATCCCAAGCATGTAATTACGCTGGCAGTATCTAGCTCTCTCTGCCGTGCTTTTCCCGTCATCCGCAGAGGTTTCGCTGCATACACTGTGCCATACTGTGCCTCTGGATCAACTTCGAAGATCTCACCCTGGGAGGATTTCAGCTTGAGCTTGTCCTCTGCCATGGCCTTAGAACCAGTGGGGACCTTGACCTTGACCTGCCTTCTGAGCTGGCCTGTGGCCTGTGAGGTCCCAGCGCAGGAAGGTCCAAACCCACAAACTCCCCACACGAATACTTGTGAGGCCAAGACACTGCTAGCATAAACAAAAGCTGCGAGTGCATGCGAGTCGAACACGAGCATGAAATGCAAATGCAGAACCACACCAGCCAGGAATTTAAGCCTTCAGATCAACAGGGCTTTAGGGGCAGCTCGGTCTTCCAGCCCTGCGACCCCTGCATATCTGGAAGCGCTCTTGCCTTTTGAGTTTCGCTCACGTTTGACTCCGGAGGTACTCAGTGAAAGCTTGCTGGAGCTTCTCTGGAATGCGCCAAACGTCTGCCGCCACGAACCTCCAGTCTGGGGCATGATGGCAGGCTATCAAGGCACCAAATCTTCCAAGGTGCCAGTTGTCGGCCCAGTCCAGGTACTGAGATCGCCTTCGCGCACAACATGGTGGGCTTGTAAAAGCTACCTGCGTCCTTGCCGTCGTCATCGCTGCCGAAGTCTGAGTTCCGAACAAGTCCCAGTGAGTCCTCTCCTCTTCCTGGAAATCCGCACGGAGCGGGAATGGACGGGCAAACTGCCGAGAACAGTCCTTCGGCAGAGGATGGAGAACGAGCCCAGGATTGACAACGGCTGCTGTCCAGCTAAGACCTCAAACGTCGACCGAACCGAAGAGGCAACGTTTCCCTTGATTGGACATACGCTCCGCGGCTTACTCTTTGCAGTAGGCTGCATTGGCGGTCAGTTAGCTGCCTGGGCTGTTGCCCTGCTCTATTGCAGGACATGCCTTCCGAAAACTAGGGGCAACGGAGGTTCGAAGAGTGCTGAGTTCTCGTACCAGTACCCACCCAAGGTTCCGGAGCTATCTTCTAAGGGATGTCTGAATCCAATGATGGGACTGAACTTCCATGCCAGGCTGCTCACACCAGCTTCGCTCCAGCTTGTGGTCAAGCGAAGCAAGTGAGCTTTGTAGCTGCGCTGCGGCTCTTCAGCTACAGACGTCTCGAAGAACCCGCGCATGTCCCGCAGTGTCCGTGCCGCTTGAATGTCTGAACTGGTGGACACTCTGAGAACAGCACTGCAAGGTTGTTCGAGGAGTTGAATTATGTGCAAACGCACAGACAAGCGTGCGCTGCAAATCACCGTCGTCATGACAGTGAAAAAGATACATAGTATTTCAGATTCCAGCTGCTTGCAGATCATCTGCTGGCAAGCAATGTAATCGACACACACACACAACAAAGCTCAGCCTCTGCCCATGGAGAAGCCTGCTTCCTGCGATTGTCGAAACCGCTCTCGAGCTGACATCTGAAACTGTTGCGACTCTTGCGCGCGAGCTCAGTCGCATTGAGCTACGGACGGAGCCCAAGTCTCCTCCGCCAATGGCTAGGAACGTTGACAGATCCGCATCGTTCCAGTAGGGACACAATTCTCCGATGGGCACCATCTTCGAGCACTCGGCTCGAATCGAATTTCATGCGTTGCTCTGACGGCACAAGTCCAACATCTTGTGCCAAGCATTAGTCTGGAGAAACGAATGTTCTGGCAACGGCACTGCGATTCCGCTCAAGTATATCTTTGCCGCATGTTTGCACAGGGGATCTGTAGTGAGGTCTAGTCTAGTGACGGATCAAGCGTTCGCTTCGCACTGCCGTCACCCACGTTCAGGCTTCACAAGCTGGAACTTGCTTCTGCAATTTCTGCATGCTTCGGCTGATTCACCACCTGCCAACTAACAATTCTGACAGCAGTCCTACAGCAGCTGGATCAACACTACCAAGCCCAGAGCCCCTCGCCTTGGCTGCTCTTGAGGCCAGCTTCAGTGCTGCAGCTGTCTCATCGATGTTTGATCTGGCCGGCGAGCAGCACACCTCAGTCCCAAGATGCTGCCTGGCCCAAAAGTGCAAAGGGAATACCCAGCGTCTGACATACATCAGGACCTTTGCACTGCCACCCACTGCATCCTGTCGCATCTCATTATTGACAGACAGACAGGTCCCTGTATCTCACTTGCGTCACATCGTCAGCAGCTCCTGTAGCAGCCGCGTGAGCTTGTGATCCCTTCAGGCAGCAAGAAACCGGAGCTCAAGCAGAACACGCATCGAGCTTTTGTGTCTGCAAGCCTGTATGGAACATGCCGCCGCCGGCCAGCAACAGCCTGGCAGCCAATTCCAGCAGAAGCCGCCGCAGTTCGTGGACAGTTGAAAGCTGGACTATTTCTCAAAGAGAATGAAGCACATTACAGCACATACTCATGTGAAGCTGCCTCAATGACGCCGCTTAGTGCACTGAGCGACTTGTTGATCTCAATGGCCTGCCGGCGCTCACATTGGATTTTGCAAACATGATGAGCCCGCAAAGTGCATCCTGCCAGAGGCTGCATTGAGTTGGACCTCCTTCTGCAATTCCCCAGCAACTTGAGTTCGCTTGATCCTGAACATGAACGAGAAGTTTGTGAACTGCAACTTAGTGGCCAATTTCATGCGCCAGGGCAACATGTGCAAGATTGCCTTTCACAGCCGCCGAGGTCGCAAAACGTAAGCTTTCTCGTTGAAGCCTTCTTTGAGCCACCTGACGCAGCAGCTCTCCAGCGCAATGTCGCATGCTCTACTGCACTTCTACTGCTTTTTGCTGTTGGCCTTCGGTTTGCAGCCTGACTGTGAAGATCATGTGTGAGCCTGGTGCCACGAGGTAACTGGAAGAGAAGACCGTGGCAACTCAGCACTGACGAGCACGCAGTGTGTGGCCAAGTATGCTGCGAGAGCTATCTGCGTTCAGCGCATGCTCTGCCACAACACGCCTGAGTTACAAAGCACAATTTAACGTCAAGCCCGCAGAGGCTAAGCAGTTTGTGCCAGGCTTCAGACTGTGCCAGACCCTTCTGCAGGATTTCCAGTAAATCATCGCCAGTCTGTGCCATGTCCTGCACCTTAAGCAGGGATATCTTGAAGATTCTTGAAAGACGACAGGTCTGGACGAACTGGAAACATCTGGAAACGAGCGAGGTCGATGCAAGCCCGTCCACTTCGACGAAGCCTTGTGCATCAACACCTCGTTGTTAGACAAATCTTCGGTACTCATGGTCACTGTGACGGTAGAGAAGGCGGTCGCAGATGAAAATGGTGCCAACCCAGGGGATGACACAAACATGACGCCCCTGAACAACGAATGCAGCATGCCTCGCTACCGCCGTATGCGCTGCTACTCTCCGAGCTGCTTCCCACTCATCCAATGTCAGCTGAAAAGTCGTCGTCGTGCCCGCTCTCACCTGGGTGCCAGGCACACCTTGACACCGGGAGATTGCCGTCCTCCCAGTCGCTGGGTTCAACCAGAGCTCAGGCTACTCCCTCTTCCCTCAGCGCCATCACGTGAGCCTGTTCGGTCGACCGGGCGGAGCAAGTCGATGAAGTGGTTGTTGTACAGCCTTAATACTGAGCAAAACCAAAGCAACCCCTTGGTGTTCAAACATGTTGCTCCCTTTCTCACACCTATAAATTTCGCACAAGCGATACCCGATAATGGCCTCCGTCCGGAGCGCGCCTCTGGGTCTCTCACATTCCTGACTCTTTCGTTGCCCCGCCTGGCTTCCTACGGCAATGTTACACTATTTCACGGTGCCGTTGCAGTTAATGGCAGCGTCACCTTCCACCTTAAGAGTACGCACTCGCCTCAACACCATCCTTCATTCTCTCATGCTCTGAGCTCAGAACTCCAAAGCGGAACCGGCAACGCTGACGGTGCACTCCTCACCGTGCTTCGATCACGACCAGGCCCAAGCTCTCAGTCCCCATGTGTCCCCACTGCCCGCATTGCGGTGCCTCGTCGTCCTCCTGGTCAGCGAGGCGCGCGAAGACTTCTCCTTAGTGCTTCGCCGTTGCTGCATCTGCCAACTTCGTGAGATCAGAGGCAAGACTCGGATCATGTACTGCACCAGCCCCTCCTGGTCTTTGTTCCCAAACCTGCGGTTGGTCGCACATAGACATAGCACAGCCTGTGCGACGTATGTAGCTGAGAGTGGCACAGGGTGTAGGTCTTTCCGGCCCCAGTCTGACCGTAGGTCATGACGGTCACCTCAGCAGAAGCCATGCTTGTGGCCATCCGCCGCAAACGCTGAAGGTGTGTCTGTGGTCACGGCGTTATGCCCGTCAACTGCGGACTGCACGAGATCGCGGCAATCTTCGAAGATCTCCTTCACACAGGTCAGAGCGTGGGCCCCCCGTAGAACGACCCGAGACTTGCCACCTGCCTAGCTCGCCAGCACTGCAAAAGCCACTGGAAGACCCGACACAAGTTTGCAACCCTCAAGGACATCCTACCAGGCGAGACAGCAACGGCCGCGACACTTCGCAGAAATCGCCCCTCTGAAACCGGCAAAGAGTACGAAATACCGCACTGGCAGGACGAAAGAACCAGCCTTCGATAGGCTGGGCAGCCGTTAACCCTGACTTTGATTAGCAGAAAATGTCCCTTCCAGTGCTGACTCCGCAGGGCCTCAACGACCTGCTGCGGGACATCTGGCCGGAACACGCTGTCAAACTCGAACCTTTCCAAACAGCTCGAATCTGCAAACAGAGTCACCTTCAGTGGGAAAGCAACTCAGTCTCTGGCACTTGTGCCGGCCCCTCTCGCGAGAGAAGTTCCACCCGCGAGCTATCCAGCGGCCGCAGCGCAGGCTCTCCCAACTCGCCTTTCTGGGCCTTCTCTTCTTCACCTAAGGAAAATACTGGCAGGGTGAAGAAAGAGGTGCATCGCACGCTGACCCTGTGCAAACGGCCCAACCAGCTAAGCGCGCGAGGGCGGCTGAGCGGGCGTATGCGGCAGGACACACGAAGCTGGCCCTTCATATCCTGCCCAGCAAGGATTCTTGGGGAACGACAACATGCAATCTACCAGAGGTTCGCCTGCAGGGCGTTGTGAAGGCGTCTTCTTTGCTGCTCTGCCACAGTGCGCTCCACCCGAGGCAGGTCGACCTGTTGGGATCGGGACCCTTGTCTCATGCCTCATGGACATGCAGCGGTCACGCAGCTGAGCCGTCAAGCCCCTGTGGATCCCGGTGCTTTTGGGGAGCATGCTGCAGGCACGAGGACGAGGACTAGGATGACTAGGAATCAGCTTAAGTTTGATTGCGACTGTACCTGAGAATTTGGGAGCTCAAGTGTGTCAAGGGTGTACTGCGGACTGCAGACCAAACCCAAGGCGCAAGGAAAGGGCTCTGACGTGATTCTATAACAGCATTTATATAGAGCACTCCGATATGAGACCGGGAGGCCGAAACAAGATTTGAATGGGGCGCGTTCCCGCCTCCTGCGCCGATGCCAGAGCATTGAGTAACTTTGTCCTTGCCTGGAGAGCGTGCAAACATCAATCACGTGATCTTAGGTCAGCTTCAGCGAACTGCTCAATGACACAAACATGTCTGCCAGTTGAAACGTCGCCTGTCTCAGCGTGGCGAGGTCGGTTGTGCTGATGTCAAGCTGAGTTGCCTCAACCACAGCCTGACGGCAGCCAGCTGATCCACGAAACAGAATGAACAGTGCAGCAATACTGGCTTACTACGTTTATCAGGGTTGTTGCGAAGAGCAAGCCTCCGGCAACATGCGGTGGTTCATGCACACGAACCCTGCACATGCACCCGTCATGCACCGTTTGACGTACCATTTTGGAGATTAGATTGCAGAATGGAGGGATCGGGCGGGCGCCCCAGCAACTCGCGCCAACCAATGCATTTTGCTGCTGCCGCTGCTGTTGCTTCTGAACGAGTACCCTCCCAAACATCTACAAATTCTACTACATAGCCTTACATAACTACTTGCCCGGCGAGCTTGCAAGCATGTCCTTGGTTCGGGTGCATGCTGACTTTGGTACCCTGTCTTGCTGCTGTACGTGGTTCGCATCTGCTGCTTGATCTGAAGCATCCACTAACTGCCACTACGACTACGACATGTCTTCTGGCAAAGCCTGAGGCTCAACCCTCAACCTACGCAACGGCTGAGACTCAATCCTTGACCTTGCAAGGGCTGAGAGGGCCGTGTTGCAAGAACACGAACTCTAGTACGAAACTCACCGTGTTGGCTGCGCGACTAGTGCGTCCAAAACCTCTAAACGTGCTAGCAACGACTGCAGCAGCTACATGCGGTTACAAGACACTAGCAGACCCTGGGCCCTCGACCTCAATATCTATAGTCAAGAATCAAACTTAAAAAACAACGCTGCAGTGTGCCAAATCACCCGACATCGCCCAACACAGGGCGTCTGTAACAGCCCTTGAGGTAGTTCAACAGCGCAGCCAGGCCAAGCATCCTGTTTTCCACAGTAAGAGGTGCGGAAGCTGCTGTCCGGCTCCAGCTCGCAAGCCGGTTTGGGCGGTGCCGAGCCTACCTACGGCCTAGGGTCTTACCTTGGTTGCCCTGGCCAAACCGTCCAACGTGTAGCTGGGACAACCGTCGCTCGGTGTGTTCCCAGCATCGGCAACGAAGCTCAGATTAGCTCAGCCTCCACGTGCCACTTGGTGGCTCGATTCACCTGAACAAAGGCACTTCTCCCCAGCAGCGCATCCTCGGCTGACCGAGTTTGAGGACCTGCTCACAGAAAGCATGCAAAAAGAGGAGACCGCTTGCACCCCAAGCAGCATTTCGCTTCACCTCGACTGTCTGCGCGACAGCACCATGAAGCTTGCCAGGCGGCAGTTCTTGTGCAGATGAGGAGCCACAACTTTGGCGTAGCCTTTCGTGTGGCCGACCTGGTTGGGATGCACAAGTCGACGATAGAGCTGCACCACGCAATTTGTGGAAGCACCGAACAGCTCGGTTGCCAAGGCTCTGTTTGCTGGCGCTTCGTGTCTGTGTCCGAAAACCAAACACGCTCTCTGCGGCCAACGAGGTGATCCCAGGTGGAATACGACTCAAACAACTGCGTCATCTCCTTTGACCGGTTCAACAACTGGTCAAACAGCTGCTGGGATCGATGGCAAGCGATGCAGCTAAGGGGCTGTACTCCTCGCCTTGACAATATGCCCAGGGAGTTTCTTCAGGCGCGCTGCCGCCGTGTTCGGACGAGGATAGAACTGGGAAATGTTCAACATTGGGAATCGATAGTCCCTCACCTTCGCGCTGCAAGTCTCTGCACTGTCTCAACCGCTCGGTGAATCCATGCAGTCTTCCATGCAACCGAAGCCGCTAAGGCCAGAGTGGCTTGATGGTCTTCTTCGCCCTCTGCCGGAAAGCCACAAATCCTGGCTTGTTCTTGGTCAAACTTCGACGAAGCTCGCAACACGCCTGCAATGTCGGTCTGATTGCCAGCCGCGGGTCACATCGGTAGCCACAAACAAGCCCGGAACCTGCCACAAATCCGCTTAGCATGGTGGAGCCATGCCCCTCACTTTAAATCGCCGCTGAAACGGGGCACCTGTGCCCGCAAGCCATCCACCAAGCGGCGGAAATCACCGGAGGTGTACTCACCTCAAAGCGGGTGGTTGGTAAGGGGCAGTCGCCCTTCGCATGGAAGTCAGGGTCGACCATGTGTGGGGCTTAAGGTGCTTTCCCAGACCGTGCCTACAGCATGCAGTCGCATGCCGTCGTAAGGTACCAGTGCATGACTTGACCAAGTCACGAACCATCGCTCGGAGCACAGGGTCGGAGCCGGATTGCACCGGTACATGCAGGTGCTCGAAGACGTTAGGTCTCTGGAAGACCTTCAACCATGCGAGGGTGTTGACGGCCTAAGGAGATAATTGAACACCATGCTTCAGGTGCCTTCGCTACTGCATCGATGTGGGCCAGCATGTAGGGCGGGTTTGTCATGCCCAGCTTGAGCATGACCTGGCCACAACACTCTCGTCAAAGCAGCATCACTTGCTGTCCGCACAGCCATGCAGTCAAGGTTGCCACACAGCCACATAATGCACCAAGCAGCATGCTCCGGCAATGAATCCGCCACACGGTTCAGCAAAGAGGCAATGTTACTGCCAATGTCAAGACCATAGGCACCTCCGGACTGCGAATCACGAAGCCATCGCTTCTATATATCTTCGTGGAGACGTGACTGAGCAGGCCTGTGTCCTCGGAAGTGAGCCAAACCTCGCTGACTCCTTCGCTTACAGCTTGGAGCGCCCTTGAGACGATGGCCTCGCAGGTTTTGTTTGTTGCCGCAAAAGAAGCGTCACGGCAAAACCTCTCGCCTCCTCCGAGTATGAAGAGAGCGATCCTCGCGCGTGCTTCGTCTTGCAGTAGGAGCCTCATAACACAGGCCGAGCAGCCGAGCAGACAGTGCTGCCGCACTGCATTGAAACTTAATTGCTTGAAGCTACGCAACAGAGGCGCCAACCCCAAATCTGCCACCATCCACTTCCCGAGATTTGAAACCTACACAGCCCTGATTTTCTGCCACGCAGAACTCCGATAACCCTATGTTTTCTTTTGTGCCTATCTGAAGTTGCCAAGCTATATCATGGGCACTCGAGAGCTTACCCCAGCCAGCCGAGACCGGCTTTCTCCAGACTCCATATCATAAGAATAAAGGCATTCACAGCCAAAGCGCAGTTTCCCAAGCAGCCTCCGCTGATGGGAATAATCTCAACGAAGCTATTGCGCCGCACCTTCGGCAGGTCCAGCGAAGGCATGGAGCTCCGGTGGTTGAGAAGGCTGACGGTGTTGCCCTGCAATGCATGTTCCACCACTTCGACCACCCGATCCAGCTGCGTCACTCCGATCATACTGACCTGAGATTCACGGGCCCTCTGTCTGCTGCAACCACGACACGATGGCCAAGGACTCTGGAAGTTCGGCATATGATCTGCCGTGCTGAGACGCTCCCACGAGAGACTTCGCAAGGCTGGCATCTGCCGTGGGCACACAGCCAGCTAATACAACCGCTTTGCCAGCATCTTGAGCACTTTTCACCAAATTCACAGCATTGTCCTATCAGGGCCAGTTCAAATCATCGCAACAGTTGTCGGGCATGCAGCAAGGCTCGGCCCTGCTGGCTTGCTCATGTGAACACCGTATCCTGGCTCGGGCCCTTGACAGTGCAAGAATTGACCACCAGCGCATCGGCATCTTGCACGGTCTCTGCTAAGGTGTAGCCGTAGTCTTGCAGAAGGCCCATCATGAACTCGCCTAACGACTGTGACTGTGCGCAAACCACCAATGCGGAGATGCTTACTGCTCTGAAGTCTGAACAATCGTGCAAGGTGCTGTCGGAGTTGTTGTGGGCGCAGCCGTAGGTCTTCCTTATTGATTGGGAGCCAGGGATGTCGAGATCACTCTGCCCGCTCGGATCTCACTACAGAACTACACAGCCCGAAGCGGTCGCTCCGAAATCCAAAGATCTTCTGTACTGCTGCTTCTGTCGCTTGCCGTCACTGCGTAGGGTAAACCTACCTTCTTGCGCCACCATTGTAGATGTTCGACATCGTTTACTCGCTGCAGCCAGGGCTCAGGAAGATCCGCTGCTTTCCAGGGAGTTGCTTTCGCGCTGTCTCGTCTTCAGCCGACACTTCGGCTTTCGGCGGCAAGCGCCTCCGACAACCCAGGGGAAACCGGTCGCAGAATGGGCGACCGGACAGTCCCGCCGCCTCCTCCTGACTTGACCGGCACCCCACTCCAAGGGCCGACGAGGTCCTGCCAGCTACGCAAAGACCAGGCGAGGTCAGGACGAAAGGATGGAGGCTGAAGACACAGGTCCTTCCGCACCAAGATCCTCAAGTTCAGGTTCCGGAGCAGAGCCTGAGAGAGCTGGCGCCTTACCGCCTTGCCACCATCTCTTAGCATTGAACGGAGCAGAAGATCTTGGAGTCGAGCCAGGTTCGCTAACAACTGCTGCTTGACGGCCGAAGAAGAGACTGGCCAGCTGCCAGAATTGCCTCAAATCACGGAAGCTCGAAACCTTCGTTTGCCTTCCCGAACCGACCGAGGGAAGAAGGTGCAGTGACCTGGGTGGGGCGGACCTTGCCTATGGGCGACCCTGACCCGTCCAGCACTTTCATCCAGGCTTCGCCAGCAACTGATCCCGAAGACGCCGGTGACTGAGGCAAAGCCCGGCTGAGGCAGTCCTGGGAAGCACGGTCTCAACATGTCTCAACTGCCTACAGGGCTTGTGAAATCTGCACGTGGAATGTGAGGCGCTCCAGATTTCATGCATCTGTGTCGCAACCTGAACTCTCACTATGGCAAGCCGCAGCAGCAGAAGTATCACCGTGTCTCGGCGGCTGCCAGTACGTCCAGAATGCCACAAGTCAAACGCCATGGCGAATGTGCCAGGTCTCCACCGCTTTTTTCTGTCTGCAGGCTTTGCTAGCTCGGGTGAGTGTGAGATTGTGTGTGTGTGTGTGTGCGCTGTCTGCTGAGGCATGCAAGACGGAACGTTCGATTTCCCGGAGCTTCGCTACCATCTGTGTCGCCTTGCATGGCATCATGACATCTAAAGGACTCTAGGCCGTGCGGTCCGCTAACCCTTTCTGCAATGTGATGGGCCTTCGGTGGTGCTGGCCTCATAAGCTACGTTTTGCTCTGTAAACTCGTGTTGCCAGCAGCACACCATCAAGAACAATAGATGATCCCGATGTCACATCCCGATGACAGCATGCAGGGCGCTCATTGTGCCTCGCAAATGTCGCAGCGTGCGTTCTCTCTCCTGCAGAGCACGGCAAAACATCTGTTCATGGAAAAGCCCTTCTGCATACTCGCACTGGCTGTGGGATCCGCAGCAGCAGCTGCAGGGGCCAGTCCCATGCATCAATGATCCCTTCTCTGTCTGTGGTACGGCATCTGAAGACAAGCTCGTGGCTTTCGTAAGCGAGTTTCTGGCCTCTCCGCTGCCGCAGCTTCTTTGGCGATTTGTTCCTGTTGGCAGCCACAGCATTGCTGGAGGAGGACGTCCAGCAGCCGCCCTGTCTGCACAAGGCTCCTCAGCCTGGATCTGCGCCGGATCCTTCAAAGGGTGTGGAACGGCCTTGGCCCAGGCTATGCATGAGGGATTTTGACTCGGACGGCAGTTGATTCGGTAACTGTGGCTCCGGCGCTCGCTGCAGTCGCCGAGTCGGCAGGCTCGGCACACTCGACAGTTTCAGCAGAAGGAACCTCCGCCATTGAGACTGACGCGACTTGCAAGCTTAGCCGCTGCACAAATACGTTCCACCTCAATGCCCAGTATTGTAAGAGCACGGCTGTAGTTTGGGCAAAGCGAGCAGGTGCAACAGCAACAGCCTCCCAGTGTCAAAGGTTGCTTGAGATCGTCAGCCACAGCTACTGCCACCATCCCGGTGCATCCAGCCTGAGGCTGGATTGCATACTGCACCAGCACACTTGGTCTGGTACGGAGCTGTGGGGCGGCATGTAGAACTTGATGCTGCGCCGGGTTCACTAGCCGCACCACCGAGTGCTGGCTCCAGGCAGCAGCAACATGCACAGGCTGCTGGATCTGCTGGGAGCTCGGCGGGCATGCTGCCATCACTTGGCAGGGTGGTGAGCTCTCGCGGCAGCGACGCACCACCGGAACCACCAAGCCACCACCGGGACACTGCTGAGGAGTCGCCACCGGAGCTGCAAACGCAGTCCTCCGCCACAGCAGAGGCCCTGTACTTTCACGGGGCAGCATCTGCGAGGCAGAAGTTGCCATCGGTGGGTATTGACTGCAAGGAGAGAGGGGTGATCCTGGTGGCAACACAGGCCCCGAGGCGCTTTCCATCAGCTTGCTACCCAAGTGGCCCAAGATACCTTTAGCAGAGCAGGACAGCGTCTTCCGAAGCGGAACCTGCACAGCCGTCTCGTCCGGGCGCTCCCCGCCAACATCTGAAGACTTCTCGCTTGCTGCTACAGAATCATCTCCCGCTGCTGTGGAGCCATCCATCTTGCTATCTCCTGCCGGCGTTGACGTTCGCACGTCTGTCTGCCTGTCGGCACCTGTGAAAGCCAAGATGTTCAAGACCTTCTTCTCGGCATTCTCAGCCAAGGAAGGCTCGTTCAAGGCAAGGAAAGGCTTCGCACGAGACCTGGCATGGGCACGACTGTACCAGTGCTCACACGTATATAGAGGTGCAGAAGCTATTGCTGGCTCATACACAGTTCAGGAAGTGCACAGCCTAACATCACCGGAATAAGCACGCTCCTACGGATAAGCACGAACCTGCGCGGCGAAGCGTGTGAAGGAGAGGCCGGGCTTGGAGAACCGGCTCTTCCTGCAGTCATCGTCCACTCCATCAAGCTCGGAACGCCCTTGCAGTGCGTACCTGGGGCACTGGTGCTGCGCCGCAAGCTGCGAGGCGCGAACATGGCTCCAGGCCCGTGGTAAATTCAGGTTGAATGAAAGAGAAACTGTCTGCATAAGGCTATGTCAGTTCTGGGCCTGCGGGAAGAGGGACTGACACTCTGCTGTCAAGCAGGCACAATGAGGCCGGGTGAGGCTAGATGTGGGCTCTATAGGGGTCGCAGCGTTGCCAAGAACTAAGTGCTGGCATTTACGAACAAATCATATCACTCTTCGTGGATGGAAAGCTTGGAAATGGCGACACAACTTCGTGCGCAGCGGCCCTGCTAATCAGGTCTGACCATCCACCAAAAGCAGTCACAAGACCTGCAACTTTCGCAGGATGGAGCTCTAAAACAATTCCACAACAATCACAATTTGTACATTTATAAATTTACAAACATTGCACACGGCGAGAAAATTGATCGCAGACACATAGTGCCGACAGCCGAAACAAATACCGCTGCAAAAGGCCCCCACACACACAGAGTGAAGGACAGCGCAAACCAAGAGCCAGCAGCACCGAGATACTAGCGTCGTGCAACATTATTGCCCAACATGTCCTCCCTGCCAAGTCTCTGAGAAGCTCGCTGCTCAAACTGGTGACAAGGACATCGGCCTCAAAGAAGAGCAGCAGATGGCTCAGGTCATAAGATGTCATGGGCAAATGTCGGACTGACAACCTCAGCAACCTGAGCAGGCAACACGTGCCATGCAGAGCAGCGCCTGCCGCGGGTTGTTGTTCCTGAGGCTGTTCCCCCAACCCTCTTGGCACCAATCTATGTCTGCAAATCTGCTGCCTGAGGGCCTAGCACAACCACGTGAACCTGCTTACTCCATCTGATCATGTTTTGCCCACGTGGTCAGTCACGATCTGTCGGTGCTTAGCAGCACCTCTGGCAGAACCAGCGCGCTGCAGGCCGGATCAACCTTCCAATTGCCAGCGGACCACAACTCCTAAAATGAACCTGAGACGTTCTTAGTCGTAGCGAGGGGTCAGAATTGTAAGGGCAGCTTACTTGCGGTGTTCCGATTCGGTGACGGAAGTCTTCTGATATGCTGGTTAGCAGTCGCACAAGATGACACGCCCGAAAAAACCGAGCAGCGGCAGTGCACGGGCAAGCCGGGTAAGCACAGGCACCTCGAACTCAGCCAGGGTGTGGAAGATTTGCCTCCGCTCGAGCTCACTTCCACCAATGACACGCTTCTATGACATGCTAAGGTCGCGAGCGGTCAGAAAATGTCAATCAATCCCATCACCATCAGTGTCACCCCGCGAGAATTTGAGCAATGAGCCAATAGCAGACAATTAGTGAAAGATTCAGAAACGAAATCATTCCGCACAGCCAACACTGCTGGAGTGTAATGCCGATATTACACATGCTGGTGCTATTGCTGCTGCGGTTCTGCCCTGCTCCTGCTCGTGCTCCTGCTACTGCTTCTGCTACTGCTTCTGCTGCCGCTACTGCTACTTCTGCTACTACTACTGGTGACACGAAGAGCACAAGCCACCGCACCACAATGCATAGTGAAAGACTTGACAATTCGGATTCCGAGGATGCCGGCAACTCGTCAACAGCTGATGGCGCGAAGACAAAGCCCGGCAGACCCACCTTAAGACACTTCCGGCCACTTCCAGCATGTGATACTGTCTACCCGTCCAGCTGTGATTGGTTTTGTCTACATACTATACGTGAGCATATGCTAACCTCACCCCCACTCAACAGAAACGCGACGCAGTGTGGCGTACCACTCATCGAGCAATATGCGGCCCTGGTGCGTTGGGCCTGCAATCACTATGGTACAGTTCCCCTGACTGCAGAAAGTCTGACATTTCACACCCACCATTCATCCGAATCGACCAGGCACCACAAACTTCAAGGTGCTTCAGTTCGTAAACTAACGAAGGCTAAAATCATAACTCACTATCACAATAGATTTCTGGACTTTCAAAACTTTTCATTTTGCTTACACTATGCCTTTTGACCACAACTATCCAGAATCCGCATCTAAATTTAATCTTGGCCAGAAGACTCACACCAAGCACCGAATTATGTGTCGAGTTGAAACATTGGGTCTGCGCACACCGATTGGATTCCGGTAGCCTCAACTGAACCTGATCGAGAACCCTGCTCTCCGATATAGCACCCACGCGCCGCGATTTGCAAATGTCGCAGGCTGTTTTGAACTGTGCTCAAGCCTTTTCACTTCCCTTTTCACAACTTTTAACTATTCTTAGTTTGTTTTAAGACAGCTTGAACTTCCAAGCCTTATGAAATCAACAGCTGCTCTTCACAAACACCTCGGTTGCAAACCTGTTCCGATTTCACAAGAACCAGTTGTGCCAGACATTTATTTGTTTATGCGCACTGTCAACATGTGGCCAAGTCTCAATGTCTTCCTTTCCGGGGAACGACAAGTCAAATCTGGAATGTGCTTCCTTCACTCCAGCACTATTGCGGGTAAGGCATGCCAGGATGATAGTGGGGAATGACACGATGGTAGGGGCCTAAGTACTGAGCTCCTTAGGGTCCGTCCGTCACATGGAACTTTTGATGTGGCGGAATGCGTTACGTCGTAGCGAGCAAGGCTCTCCTCCACACTCCTGGGGAGACCTTGGATCTTGGATCCGTCGCAACGAGAAGTCAATGAGACCCAATGGGATCGATGCCCGCGTCGTTGAAACAAACACCCAAAACACACAGATGGTTCAGTAGGGGTACGATACGTGTGTTTGGATTTACGCATGCAGCATGACAGCAGCCTATGATACATGGTGCTATCATATGTTGGAACATACGAGCTCTTTTTTGCAAACAATGTTCTCTCATCGAATCGAGCCCCAGGCTTTCACCAGCGCTTCGCGGCTTTGCCCAACTGCCTCCGTGAAGACCTCACGCGCAGCGGTAGTCAGCAAGATGCCGTCAACCGAGATCTCCCAGGGCGTGAACATGGAGAGCGAGTCGAACGTCCAACGGCTCCTTGGGAGCCACTCAAGTCTTATCGCATTCGCGGAGGTCTGGCCTTGCGCCAATCTGGGGCAGCGGCTGCCACCGCCCTAGCGAGCCCGCACAGCCACCTTCATCTGCAGAAGTTTCAGACAGAGACTGAACCACTGGCAGCTCCAGTCTCGAGCCTTGAGAAAGCTGCGGGTTCCAATTGCTGCCTGTCGGGACTCTCGATCAAAACGATTTCAACCCGGGTCTATGCAGCATCTCAAGCAGCAATGCAATAAGTTAGCAGCTTAACACAAACATACGCAAACTGAACGGTCCCCAGCCGACCGAACTGTACTTCAACAGGAGCTCAAGGCAGAGCAATCTGCCGACGCCGCAAGACTTACAAGACTTCTTTGAGCACGTCCGCGCACTTTCACGGCTCGGCCAACAAATGAACCAGACCTTTGGCGGCTCAGCCTCCGACGTCAGTGAATAGCCAGCAGCTTCTCCAACATCACCGCGACGGACCTGGGTCAAGAGACTCAGACTCAGAAACTCAGAACCTCTCCCGTGTTTGACAAACTCTCGGGCTGCGACATGCAGTGCCATGTGCTTCACACCGCTGGGGCCTCCATAGCCACAACCAGCCTCAATGACGGGGGTTCCTCTGACCGCAGTATTGCTTGGTGCTCGCCGAACGTTCAGCGGTCCCCAGGCCTCGCGGCGTATGGGCAGGACCTGAGCTGCGGCTTTCTCGAGCAATCGTTTGCGGCGAGCCCTGCCTCGCCTTGCTTGGGGACGCGAAACTTCGCACAGAGGAGAACAACCGACGAATCTCCTGGGACCGGGTCGCTTGGGGACGTGAAAGAAATGTGCGCCCGGCTTGTGCGCAAGCAGGGCTAGCGAGGATGTGTCCGCACTCGGTGCCCCGGCTGGACGCTCTCGGAGACTGCCCTCCTGGCAGAAAAGCTCCATCACTCCATCGGAAACGATCTTCTCCCACAATTCCAGGGCACCCCACCCTTCTGTTTTCATCCATAATAATGAGTCAATGATGAGAAAGAGAAAAAGAAAGCCTTCTTCAGCATTTGCCACGGAGGTCCCTCCAGCGTGCCTGCCGGCCACGACAGTATGCCAAGCTCATCTCAGGGCCGCGAGTCTGACGCAAACTTCGATGGCCTTGGAAGTATAAGCCTCGCCGCAACAGGAAATCGATGCACCCGGAAGGTGCCCTCCATCGCTCAGGTCGAGGCATCGAAACTCCGACTTCGGGGATGGCCCCGTTCCCGGCCTGCAGCTTATCGCATTGCTGTGTTATGGGAGTTTTGCTTTGGGGCGCCAAAGCAAGCAAAGACTCGAGAAGTACCAGGAGCTAAAGTAGAATCCTCTGGAACAGCGTCCGACGTCCGAACACTCAATAGCTTCTCTTCCGCTTGGTACAGCTTTGCCGTTCGGCAATCCTGTCTCAACGGCCTATCTATGGGCACGTTTTTAACGTGGCTACTTGGTCAGAACTGCCCTGATGTGTGGAAAAAGAGCGAGGTCTTTGACCAGCATGCAGTATGCATTAAATGGTCTGCACAGGTGCAATATGTACTGATCACCTTCCCGCCTGCACACTAACAAGAAAGCCCATTGTCCAGTTAGTCGGTGTCCATGCGAGTAAAATCCAGGACACAGTGCACACATATGCACATCATGCCACAGAGAGCGTGCTTTGAGCACTTGGGCCTTCGGCGTAGCCCTCCACCTGCCCTCAATCCTGAACTTGCTTCGCAAGCTGGAGAGGGCGTACCAAATTCCAAGCCTCCACTCCTGCTGCTCGAAGACAACAACACTAACACTCAACCCAATAACGCTTGAAGGTTCGCCAATCTGCTGGGATCAACCCTCTGCTTTGTCGACTTCTGGTTCCTCGTCTTTCAGCTCGGCCTCTTCGCACCACTCTTCGAAGACCCTGAACCTGAGGCTCTGCGATACATCCAGATCACCAAACCTGGCGCAGAATACGAAGGAAACATCACACAGAAAAAGCAGGTTGGTCCTCGACTCGAAGATGGGCTCGATTGATACCCAGCGAGTGGCACAGTCGCAAGCAGCAAAACACTTCTTCTTCAGCCGGGGAGCCCATCAACTGAGATGATGTTCAACTTGGGTGTCAGGATGACCAACGCGGGATCCTAGGTCGCAAGGCCGCAGGTGCTTTGGTGTCCACGCTTCTGGCGAATGGGTCTGCGGCTGTTCGGTTTTCGAACAGTGTGTGGAAGCGCCTCCACAGGTAGTCCCGTTCCTGAGCCAACACTGCACAGACAAAAACCCCAATCCAGAAGCAACCTGGTCAGGTGCCGGGGTGCCCAGGGGCAGTCAAAGGGCATCACCATCCACGGGGCAGGAGGCCCAGGTCGACCGACCGTCCGTGTGAAGCACTCCTGACTTCAGCCACAACCCACGTGCTCACTAACAGCATAAACAGCTCGTACAGCTTGCAGACAACGGCTTCCAAGATCTTCCAAGCAGCCCAGTCAGTGTCGAAGCTGCAGAGCGCCACTTCAAACTTCTGGCTGGGCTTGCTTAGGATGTCCGGGTTGCGCAGGTCAAGATACAACCTTCATGGGGGCAATGCCGAAAAATGCTTTGGGACCGGAAGAGCATCGTGGATTCATCGGCGCGGCGATCAGTTAGGTGCCCGCACGAGGCCACACGGTGCAGGAGCTCCTTTGCAAGAAGATCTATACTTGCTGTTTCTTGGCTTTGCATTGCATCACTTCCCGGAATCCCCGGCTCCCTGTTCCACTGGAGGAGCGTGGGAGGGTAGAGCTGCTTGTCCTCGGCTCAGAAAGGAACAGACTTGTGCTGCTCTAGGTTGGGGTCGTGGCGACAAGCAAAGCCCAGAGGCAATGGTGCTGGAGGTCATGAAGATGATGCCGAGAATGTCCGCGTCGCCCTAAGAGGGTCTCAGCTCAAAGCATCGCTGCTCGTTCCAGACGCGACGGCAGGAAGTCTGTGGCTAAAGCGACGAGAAGCAAGGGCAACCGTTGTAGAAATCGGAAATTCACGATAAGCAGTACCTTTCAGCAGGTCTTCGCCAAAGAGGCCGATCAATCCTGCGCAATATTGCACATCTCTGCACGCAGCTCCGGTGAGGAAAATTGCCTGCCTTCGTGATCACTCGGAGGAGTCGCGGCAACTTGCTTTACGAGCTTGTGCCCTTCTTTATCGTTTCTCAGAAGCTGACTCACGATCCTGAGCTCGTTCGAGCCATCTTGCCCAGACGCTCTCACTCCAACTGCTTCCGAGCAGCTCCTCGTAGTTTAGTCGCCCTCACCAAGAGCAGGATAAAACATACAACGTAATCAAGAGGTCGCAACGCAAGAGCCAGTATAGCAGCTGACAACCCGGACCACCAAATCCTGAAAATTGAGATCCGCCAAGTCGCGATCACGATCCCCTTAGCTGACTGAAATTCGTGCAGCCTCCGCGCGACTAACTTCTGTCATAAAAACAGACGAACATCTGCCATTTGGCGAAGCCGCCATCGAATCTGACAAAGATGTCTTCCATCGATTTTCGCGTCCAGCCGGAAGGCTCGAGCCTTTCCATCATGCGACCTGTGCAGCGCTCGATGTGCATGATTATGGTGAAAATGAAGCTGCTGGCTCACGAATCCCCACACTGATGCACTATGCCGGATTGCAGACACACGGCCGCAGTTAGATGAGCCATGTAGCTCCATTCCTCCTTGTCGATGAAGCCATCGGCATTTCGATCCATCCGATAGAATGCCTTCCGCACACACAGGGGCCGACGGTACCCGATGCTGACAGGCTCGGCGCCTGCCGGAGGAGGTCGATCGCCTCGTGGCGGTCGATCTGATCGTACCACTTCTCGAGCATTTTTTCGGCCTTCCTCGGCGGACTTCGACTTTTCTTCTCTCCCATGGAATTCACACCTGCAGCCCAGTCCACTCCAGTAGGGCTTCCTCCACCTCCCACTTGCGCGCGTTCTCCATCCTCAGCGCGGCATCTTCCAACACAAGCTGGCAGCGTCCGGTGGCTGGAATGTTGCCCAAATGGGACTGGGAGAAGCACAGAGCAATCAGTCGTTCTGCATCGGATCGACGAGCATGGCTCGGCAAGGGCAAGCAGCCCCGCTGCAATGCCTGGCGGGCAGGTGCGGACCAGTCTCTGCCAGCTGTCGGCGATGGTATCGGTCTGGAACATCAACGAGCTCTGCAAATCAGACAACACGACATCTGTTGTCACAAGGCATCGCGACATGGCCTTAGCCGCCCTTTCCTTGATCTCATGAGGCTCCAGAGGCAGTCGGCCCATCACCCTTGAAGTACAGCTCGGATGCCGACACTTGATGACAAAGCTGCCCTGCTCTGAATACTATACCATGACTCAGGTCACAGTCGGTTGCGGCTACTTTGAGTGGTTGAATTTGCGTGAACAAGCCTGGAACAAAAGAAGCTACGATGCAACGTGTGTCTTCAGCGTTGTCTTTGACTTGCCTCTGCCGGACTGCGACGAGAAGGTGTATACAGGCATGCGATCCAGGGAATTCAGGAGCTGACTCAGAAGAGAGCTCCACCGTTTCCTGTGCACAGCACACCGGCAGAAGCGACCGGCAATGATTGACTTGTCAATGGCTTTCATATGCTTCCATGGCCTCCGCACCCCAAAGAAGCAAACGACCTTCCGGCACCTGCGGAGACCGGATTTGCAGACTACAGAGACTCTGACCTGAACATCTCCCTCGCTGCTCGCCCCCACAGCTCGGACCTAGCAGGTGAGGCCCTCTGCTTTTGAATTTTGCATTTACTGCATATACTCTGCATATACCGAGTCGAACGTGGTCAACATCTAATCCTCACTGTTGTGACGCCTTCCGGCATCTTGTCTCGTTCCTCCGTCTGCAACTCCGCGCCATTGGTTGTTCTTGGGATGACTTGGGTTCACTGTCGCGCTTGCCGTTACGGTTTTTTGTATGACGCCAGCTTTCAGAGTGCTACTTCCACTCAGGACAAGGAATAAAGACAGGCTCCGTCTGAACAATCGGAGTCACCGCGTCTTGTGTCGCAACGAACGACTGAACCGGAAGGGCGCGGGGCAAATCACCGCAATGCCGCGGTGCCCACAGGTCAAGGCCGTGGGCCAAGGCAACAACAGAAAGACGGAAGCCATGCACCAGCGTTGCTTCTTGTAGACCCTGCCTCACTCTGGGCCAGGAAGTCTCTCTGCAAGTCGAAGTGCCAACAACGCGGCGGATACCTCCCATGGCGCCATGCCATGCAAGGCGGCAGCTCGTAGCATTGCCATGCTTGCTCTGACGCTCTGACTCGGGATTCGATGGATCCGGTCGACCATCGGCCGGGCTCTCATGACACCACACAGGCCGCCTCCGAGCTCCGGAAAAGCTGACCTCGACGAGCGGCCGAGCCGAGAAGCCGAGGCCGAGGCTCAAAGCCTTGCGGATGCCTCGGCTTCAGAGCAGACTGCACTTTACACTTGCAGACTCAAGACTGAAGACCGTTCAGAGGCTACACCTTGACTGGAGATGCGAGACATGCGAGCCCCTTTCGTTGTCACAGCTTTGCACAGTTCTGGTCGCGTTGCAGAAGACCCCCAGCGGGTGGCAACGACAGCAACGCAGCATGAAAGCCGATGACCAGCGAGGCAGCGACCAATTCCAGCGCTTTCCTCGGAAGCGAGGATGTGCAGCGGATGTGCTATGCTACGCACTTGGCGAAGGGTTGGAAGCCAAGCAGCTTGAAGCGGGCCCCGATTCCATCCTGGCGAAGGGTGCGACATTCGGCGTGATCCTGCGCCTTCGAGCCCCCCAAGTGTTGACATACCGCCGCGTCGCATGGTCCAAAGACGACCAGTGGCATGATTTTTGCTAGCGATGCTTGCACATGTCTGGGCAGAAAGCGGTTTGATGTTTGAGAGCGATTGCCATGTCAAGCGACGGGAAGAACTCCCGGCGACTAGATCGGTCGCACAAAACCTCCCCGACCTTGCCTGACAGTTCTTGGGTTGCCCATCACTGGAGCACAACTGCTTTTACGCCCTGTTCGAGCATCTGCAGTGCTCTGGCTCGCTCTGCTGTGCTTGCAACCGGCCCCATATCCGACTTGACCTGGAAAGTGTCTTTATGCCCAGCAGCCTACCAACTGTGCCGCTGTCTCTGGGATTCCTGTGTCGGTTTCGGCGATTTCCCCTAATCCCATGAGGTGAGGCAGTCCGAGTCATTACAAAAACCACTCTTGGAAGGACGAGATGGGCAGATGACGTCGCGTCGCAGGGCAAGGATAGTCCAAACCAAATTACGAGACGATGGTGAGAAGTGGCAAGGTCTGCCGGCCTCAATGAAGCCTCCAAATTGCTGTAGTTCAGGCGTGTGTAGGCACGCAGCACTATATGACTTGCAGATGTCTGCCTCCAAGCAGTGTCACGACGGCTTCTGATCAAAACCACACTGTTGTGAGATCCTATTCGAGTTCCTCGCCGCACACGGTCTTGCTGAAAGACATTGTACTGTTCATACTGACTGCGGTGTCGCTGCTTCTTGGCGAAAGCTGCTCCGCTTTGAACTCAGGTACTAGTACTGGAAAGATCGAAATAACTGTTCTCTTCTCATACAGCGCACCATTCCGAGCATCCGGAATTTCGATAGCACTGTCGTGCGACCCAAGTTTGCTGTCAGCCGTAATCCTGAATCTATCACCCAGGTGGCTGACTAGCAGGCAATCTGGCAGCAAAGGGTTTGAGTCACTCAGACTTACTCCAAAGAATTCTGAATCTTCTCTTGCCGGGCTTGTGGCAACGGAGCTGAAGTGAACAAACTCACTTCGAAAACTCCCGCCTCCAGCTCGTCTGCATGAAGCAAGAGGACCTGGTTGCATGAACGGCTGCAAGGCTTACAAAAGAGAAGCACCAGAGTTCATAGAAGAAGCCCCCACCTTGCTGGAAGCGCCGCGGATACGTGCACGCAGCTGCTCGAGCTGCTCCCGTGTTTGGGGGAACTTCGCCGCCTGTGTAGTGGCAGTAGCACTAGCACTCGTGCTAGCAGTGCGAAAGTCGTACATTTTTGAACCCAGGCTCAAATCCTGCATCAGCTGGGAAGCGGCAACCAAAACGACTACTGCCGACTTGCGTACATAGTGGGGTAGTGGTAGTGGCTGTGGTAGTAGTAGTAGTAGTAGTAGTAGTAGTAGTAGTAGTGTAAGTAAGCAAGCAAGTAAGTAAGCCGGGTTCGGTGGAACTGCGGTTTGAAGTCAGTGGCTTCAGACATCCAGATGCTCAAATCGACGCCTGCTCTGAGACATGCATGCACCGTCCACCAGCCTCCAAGCTTGAGCAGCGAGCCTCGGGCTTTTCCATGCAATTTCACACTTTGTCTCATGTGCGGCTCACTAGCTCAGGGAGTCGGAGCGTCGCTTGGCTTATCCGCTCCTTCCCTTCTTACCCTTCTCCCCACAAAACTCCAATATCCCTTAATTAAGTAGTGTTCCCTAAATTATAGAGGATCCTGAATATGATTTAAGGTATATTCCTTAATTAAGGGATATTGGAGTCTCTGGGTACTTATTTTCAGGCAATCAGGCTTGTCGGGCTCCGGGTTTAGGGTTCTAGGTTTAGGGTTTTAGGTTCAGGGTTTTTG